TCCACCTTTAGTTGAGTACATCCAGTCCGATCCAGTAGTTAAGGTTGTTGAGGTGCCATCCCAACCAGCTGTACAATTTGTACAAGTGCCCGGTGAGCCGCAAATACAGTTTGTTCCAAGCAAAGCTGTGGTTAAACACGTTTATCGAAAGCCGAAAAAACTACCTTTGGTTAAAAAAGTCTATGTAAGAGGCATTCCAAAATCCGATACCACTTTAAAAGCTGCTATAGAATACGCTCCTACTCCACCTAGTGTTCCGATAGTTGAATTTCCAGTTGATAGTGTGTTAGAATATCAAATACCTGACAGTGGAGCTGTTCCGGCTTTAGAAAATAACCAGCTAGCTATTGAAAGGTCAAAGCGGTGGCCGTCAAACCGACAACTGTAAACAAGCTCCGTCGAAAGGAAAAAGATCAGCAACTTGCTATTGAAGGTTCGAAAACCGTGGCAATCAAGCCGAAAACGTCCAACAAGCTCCAAAAAGTCACACCAAAACCTAAGCAAAGGGCAGCAATTGCCACTGAGTCTTACAGGTTAGCAATCGAAGCCAGTGGGAAAGAGCAGACAGCTATTACCGATGCAGTGGCGTTAAAAGCTCTAACATATAAACCTGAATGTTCAAGTCAGGCCAAAACCCAATTAAGGAAACGTAATAAAACTTCAGAATCTCCCACTAAAAGACACAAGGGGGGTATACAAAGAGGCGGGTGGCTCTCCTACACATGATGAAGCCCACTTTAGATGATTTGTATTTGAATCCTGCTTCTCAAGGCAGTTTAGGTGGTATAGATCGCTTGTACAAAGAAGCTAGAAAACATGGATATACACGAAAGCAAGTTAATGCTTACTTAGAAACCAAAGATGCATATACACAACACAAACCCTTTCGCTCTAAGTTTAAGCGTCGAAAGATTATTTCTGTTAATGTGGGCGACCAACATCAAATTGATCTTGTGGACTTTCAGAAATTTGCAAGTTATAACGATGGCTTTAAGTATATTCTTATGCGCATCGACTGCTTTTCTCGTTATGCATGGGCTGAGCCGGTTAAATCAAAACGACCAGCTGATATTCGCAAAGCGCTTTTAAAAATATACAAGAGTGACTGTCCTCCATTACGTGTTCAAAGCGAAAATGGTAAGGAATTTGTTAGTAAAGACATGCGTATGTTTTTTGAAGAGTGTAACGTTACATTTTTTACAACGAAAAACGATGACGTAAAATGTGCGATGGTTGAACGTCTAAATCGCACAATCGAAGAGCGGTTATATGTGTTCATGACCGAAAACAACACGTATCGGTTCATGGATGTCCTTTCTAAGATTTTATCCGCTTACAACTCTACAAAACACTCTGCTACAGGTATAGCCCCTAAAGATGTAGGGCCTGAGCAAGCTGAGCAAATTCTCCAGAAGATGATTGATCAACAGAAAGATAGGAAAAATTCAAAACCAACATTTGCTGTTGGCGATCATGTACGTTTGGCAAAAAAGAAACAGACTTTTGAGAAAGGGTACGAGACTTGTTTCACAGAAGAAATCTTTAAAATAACTCATACTACACGGAGTGGAAGCCATTACCTTTACACTGTCGAAGATTTAGCTGGCGAGCCCGTGGATGGTACGTTTTATCCGGAAGAGTTATCTAAAGTCACAATGGAAGAAAAGCCATATTATAGGTTCTCCAGGATATTAAGGGAAAGGAGACATAAAGGAAAAGTACAATACTTAGTACGTTGGTATGGATACGGTCCAGCTTATGACTCTTGGGAAAACAAAGAAGATTTGAAATGAGTTTTTACATGACTTTGCCGTCTTCGGCGTCAGAGGGCTTATACTCTGAAAACTGCTCTGGTAAATTTACAACGCTTCTCGCTAGACCTATAGATTTAGACGGTGCGTAGGAAGTTGGTCTTTCAGAAGTTATTCTTCCCCCTATGCGGATAAAGTTTAATACTGGGTTAGCCATTACTGTTTCGCCTGACGGCCTACCAACTAGATTTAATAGATTTCTCGATGTACATGCTTTTGAGGATGAAAAATCATTTACTTCATACAGTTAACAAACTGTTGAGGGAAGACGTAGAGGATAGGGACTCGAAAACCTTTGGTCAGATAATGGTCAATGGTCAAGCAGCTCAGTTAAACATTGCACCAGGCCTCGCTTTAACTTTTACGGGCTCCGAATACGCGCGCGCGCTAGGCATACTGCACCAGTACACATATAACAGCAGAGATGCTCTGACTAATATGTTATATCCGGGACAACATAATCGTCTCGTTCACGTGTAATGTGACGTGATTACACATGGGTTGGTAGGTGATTCAATGGTACCTTTACTACGCACCTTATCAACTCAAGCGAATTCATTTCGAGAGACAGTAATTCGTTTCGAGAATCCGCATTATATGCCGTTAGCCTACCGTACATTTCAAACCATAGAAATAGCGTTGCGCGATGATTTAGGGAAAGAAGTACTCTTTCATCCCGGTACATCAGTAATTAAACTTCACTTTCGACCAAAGAAGCATTAAAAATGGTTCTACAAGAGTTAAAATTTGACGAGCACCGCTACACCCAGATCTTTACCAAGCAGCATGGGTACGGTATGCCATATTATCGTGGCGCACCCATGAAAAGTGGTAGTTTCTGGGGTCGTGTAATTGGCTTTGCAAAGGGTTTGTTCAGCAAAGCTGCACCGCATATAAACAATTTAATTGCCACTGCACAACCTCACATGAAAACAATGGCCAGCAAGGCTGTGGAATCTGTAATCGATAAAGCTGTTGAGCGTGTTAGCGAGAAATTACGCAACACAACTCAACAACAGGGGTCGGGTATTAAGGGTCGTCGTCGAAAGAGAATGATCAAAACCACGAAACGTCAACGCGCGATAGACGCTATAAAAGACAAACTGTAACGATGGCTCTTATTGAAGCTGGCTCAGAACCCTCCATGCTGTTGGAAAGTCATTTGTTCTATCTTCCAGCGACTCTTACGGAAAGGTGGAATACACATGACTATGACTTGGGGCCGTCTCAAGCCGTGACCGACGATTCAAACGATATTGTATTTACAATTTCACTTTGTCAAACCGAGCTTATCAGTTTAGCTGACATTAGGTTTCATGTGATTTACACGTTGCTAACTCTTCTGGTGCTGTTCCAACAGAAAAAAAATGTCTTGCCCCGATTAACAATATTTTACATAGTTTATTCCAGTCAGTTACGGTTTCACTGGGTGGTCGCAATATAACCGATAACAGTCCGTTGTACCACATTCGAGCGTACATTGAATCGCTCTTGGGTTTCACTGTTCAGGCTCAGAACAGTCAGTTGACCCTGTGTGGATTTGCGTTAGATACTGACCTTGACAAAGACCCGCTATACACAAATGAAGTAAATGGGTCAGCAACGTTTCATAGTGAGGGAGCTGAAACGCGCAGAACATGGTTGCAGACTTTTCGGCCGTTGCAGTTGTCTGGTAAACTACATTGCGATTTGTTCCAGCAAGACCGACCGCTGATTCCTGGTGTAGAGTTGAGCATTAAACTGATACGAAACAGAGCTAATCTTTGTTTTCTTGCTGATAGTGATCTATCAGCTCCAAAAAATTTTGCAATTCGAAACCCCAAGATAATGTTCGAAAGTATGAGCCTTCTCCAGACTTTTTAGCAGCCATGAGGAAACAACTAGTCACAACCAATGCAAAATATCATATTGAACGGGTCGCTTTGAGACAGACAACAATGCAGTCTGGACAGCAGCAATTATCCTGGGCAAATATTGTTATTGGACAGTTACCCAAAGTTATGTTCTTCGCGATGTCGCCCAATCGCTCATTCGTTGGCGAATTTAAATCGACACCATTCAATTTCCATCATTTCAACATATCTTATTTAAGTGCGGAAATTGATGGACAGCTTTTTCCTACGCGCGGCTATAACCTAGATTTCCAGAACGGCGCGTCAATTGAGGGATACGAAGGATTGTTAGATACTCTGGAGCGGCTGCATGAAGGCCATGGGGAGCTACCTTTTAATAGGACGGTATTTAACAAGCGTGGTTTTAATATCTTCGGGTTTGACTTCACTCGCGGCCACACGGGTAGGGGAGCATTGTCGTTGATAAGGCAGGGTAATTTAAACATCAATGTTAAATTTGCAAAACCACTACCAGAAGGTATAGTCTGTGTAGCTATGATGGTCTTCGATAATATTATCGAAAATAACAACAATCGCCAAGTACTTTTTGACTTCGCACCATGAACAGCCTACAAATAAAAACAGCGCTGAAGCAAGATCCCAACGTTCGCGATATTTTTGTTGGGGTATTTGCCAGCGATACATTAACAGTAAAAGAATTTCCAGGTGCATACATATCAAATACTCAACCGTCAGGCGCGGCGGGTGAACACTGGGTAGCATTTTATTGTACAAAACCCGGTACGATAGAAGTTTTTGATTCATACGGGAAAAATCCCGGAGACTATTCAGATGACATTAAAAAATGGATAAATGATGACTTTGTCATAATGTCAAACACTGAACGCCAAAACACTGACAGTACTGTATGCGGTCAATATTGCATGTTTTTTGTTTTACTTCGTTGCTACGGGTTTTCATATAAAGATGTCATGTCAGCCCTCACTAAGCATAAAGGGGTGAACGATAAATTTGTATGCAAATTCATCAACAAGTTCTTCCGACTAAGGACGGTAGTCCGCGACGCAACATTTATACGCGACCTTATAAGAAATGGTTAAGCCGATAGCTAAAAAGCAGCATCAGTATTCTTTGCAGTACTGGTGACCATGCTGCTGTTAGTTTTCAATACTTTAGAAATTGTTTCCTATTTTGTAAAGTCCTCCAACCGTACACAGTTGGAGGAATCTAAAAAAATTACGAAAGAAGTGTTGGATGTGATGGGAGTAACGAAGCGACACAAACCGAGTGATTTTTCCCCTTTCTTTTATTCATTTTTCCCCACCACCTCTTTTTTCTATCGCGTGCCAAAGGGCAGCGTTGTGAAATCATCTAACATGATGCGTTTATCGTACACAAGTTTCAACTTTTTAGCCAATTGAACAGTATTAATTTCTTGCGTTTTTCCATTCCGCTTGATGTATTCCGGATACACGACCTGCACATGTTCATCCACACCCTCCAGCAGTCGCTTCAGCTGGTTAAAATCCAACGCCTTGCCGGTCCTTGTCAGCTCCTTCGTAACCGAGTCCCAATCCAGAATATCTTCCGTAAACCCGTTCTGCGTCATTCCCTTCACTTTTATTTCAATGCGTCCCGTATCTGTTTCGTAGCTGTAGACTTTCGGACCGCAGGAGACGAATTTGACAATATGGTTTTCGCCAGCTTCTAGCTGGTTATCCCAGTCACCAAGGATACTACCAGTTTCAGGGAGCCAGTCGTTAGGGCGGTGAACGAAAATCACAGAGTCCGTATCGTAGTAGAGAAGTCGCTCACCTAACTTTTCCATGAGGTCCAACAGGATGAGACGTGCGTGGCTTGTGGTGAAAGCGGCAACAACAACATTCGATCCATTGCCACCTTCGTTGAAGTCATCCACTTTCGAATGTGTTACCATCAGACACGTTGGACTCACACCATACATATCATGAATCTCAATAGCTTTTGAACGACACAGATCAGAATATCGTTTGGGATCGTACACGAATTCCGTGGAATTCATATCGCAGCTCTGGGCAGTCTTACCCCAAAGACTATTCAGCGCGACTTTGGAGGTGCTCTTCCTTCCGGCATCAAAAACCATGGCGTCAGGGTCCAGGATGATACCTTCACGGTCTTTGACCATCTGAATGAAATTTGCCTTCTTCTCATCCGTATCGCACCACGCAGGCCAACCGCTTGCTTCCATTTTCACTTTCAGAAAAGTATTCATATACGCCGCAAGAAATTTGGTGTCTGTCTGCGCCCAGTGCCAGGCTTCGTACATTTCGACAACCCGGTACCCCACATCCACCGCATGATGTAGCTCTGGTGTGCACCAGATCCCTCCGAAAGACCGTTCTTCATCGGGATGGACACAGCGGCTGGTCACTTTCTCCATTGCGCATTTTTTGCATAGAACAAACATCAGTTTGTCATTGATCGTCAACGGTAAGACTGGATACAGGCATTCATCCGGTGCAGCGACTTTACAGTAAACAAGCCCGAAATAATCTTTGACATCCTTGAAATTGGATATGATTATTTCAGGTTGACCAACTGGATACGCCCTCGTTTTGTTCACAAAGGGATAGAGGCCGACAACGTCAAAGTGTCTAATTTCTTCCCCCTGCTTTACTTCGTAAAACAGACGACTGGCGTTTGTCCTCCCGCCTTTGAAGGCATCACGTGGATTCATTGGCTCTCGAATGTTCGTGTGCTGCAAAAATCCGGCAATAAATGGATCCTCCCGCTCTCTGAGCCACTCACAACCCGATTTCACTTCCACAGTGTACCCCTGGCTTTCGAGAAAACGCTCACGTTCTAGGTATTCTTCGTAGACTTCTCGCATTTTCTTCTTGAAGTACGGGACCACATCGTTTTCGTCGGTGCAAGCGGGATGCCCATGGAAAACACAGCCATTGTACTCGTAAACGGTTTCGGTTTCCTCGTCGAGGCCGTCTACAAAGTATCGACCAATTTTGACTTCTTTTCCGTTTCGACCATGGCGTATGCGCCCATTAGCACTCATATTCTCCCATTCTAGCAATTGCGCGGCCTGGATACTGGTGCGTCGGTTTCTGTGAGGACCATGGCTGGCTAAGGCAGCGACTTTGTTTTCAGGAAGGTGAAAGGTTTTCCAGTAGCGATAGCAGGCGGCGGGCATGGTTATGCTCTCCATGGGATTCAACGAAGTGAGTATACGGTAGTCGTTGATAAACTTCAACGCACAGAGCCGCAAGACCGTAACATCGTTCGAGCAATACGTCATCATCTGCTCGCGAAAGTTGAATACTCGATTAGCGGCGGCTTTTGCTTCAGCGTGCCACTTGAGGAATCCAGCTTTCTGCTGCTTCCGCATCCCATCAATCATATACTGATCCGGATCGGGCCAAGGCAAATCGACTTTATCCCAATTCTCAGGCTTATTAAACCGATGAGGGAAATCACCTTTCTGCACTTCAAGCTGCAAACCAACCGCCTTCGGTAGTTGACTCAACCGCAGTGCCCGGAAGTTGAGTGTATCTCGGGATTGGATGCCCAGTTTGCGGTACTTCAGTTCCAGCAGTTGCGTACCCCGTTTGATGACCTCCACCCCTTCCAATCCATTATCCAACATATACTTCAGGACAAAATGCCCATCGTAGCCCCGAAAATTATGCGCGATAACGGTAAACCCACGATGCTTCTCTTGAAGCAACCAACGACCAAAAGCATCACCAACTTCCGTATTCATCGGCTGACCGTCTTCTGGAAAGCGGACTTCGGAACCGTCAGCGTACTGCGCCACAATACACGAGGGTACGTGTCCGTTCACAGGATCATTGTAGGTTTCGTAGTCGAAGAAAATATATTTCATATCTTCATCGCCAAGCCAGGGTGTTGTTGGCGCCTTCAGAGGCTTTATATAGCAAAAATGGTTGGCTTGGAGGAAATAGCCGTAGCATGTGTTGCAGTAAATTTCACCACACGGATGCTTTGCATCCTTACCCCGAGTGGAAAGATTCACAAACACTCCGCATTTCTGGAAGATGAACATGGTCTGGCAGTAGGTTTTCCCGTTTTTCCTTGTTCTTTTATGTATGTCGAAACACTGTTGGTTGAGAAAGCGGCGGTGACAGTCAGTGCAGTTGACGGGATTATCCACCAGACAATTGCTCTTGGCACGGTAGCACAATCTACACTTGCCTCCGCAGCGGTGACGTTCTTTATGATGGTACGGTCGATCGCAATCATTGCAGAAGTAGGGGGAGCAGTAGAACCCAGTAGCCGTGGTGACAAGGTTAAAATGCTCATTGTCCAGCAACAGAAAGATTTCCTGCATATCATGGGTTTTACGCTCTGGTACCCGTGCAATTATCATATCACCCTGGTTGGCTGAAATGACTTTGGTTTGGTACTCTGGGAAGGCTTACTTCTGCAACACTTCCAGGTCATCAAGGTCACAGTAACGGCCAGGGGGTAGAAGACACTCTTCCATTATCTTCACAGCTTGGTCTTCCAGATTGGCTGTGCGGTCAGAGCGTATATAGTTGTTCCATTTATTTTTATGCTGCGGCACTTGTAAATCATGCGTCAGGCGAAATTTTCCCAGAAACAGAGCGGCGGGTAAGCATAGGTTATTGTTTACACGAATTAGTACAAAACCAATGGTTTTTCGGCTGTAACGACGTCTGTCTGGTTTTAATACTGTAAAACACTCTGGTAATGTGTAATGTTGTAATACTTGGGCATTGCAAAATGTTTTTTCAGCGATCTTGCATTACATGTTTGATACAGTACGTTGGAAACGTAGTAAACAAGCACAGACACCAAGGTACCCCGTATAATTTTATGTGTACCGGAACTGACAACCGTTCTCATAACCGTCTGAACCAAGGATTTTGTAACTTCCGGTAGCAAGCTGTCTACCGCTTACAAAGCAGTGCGTTAAGAAAGTACGTCTAGCGGAACCACGCACAGCACGACCCATCTTTTATCACTCAGAACTAGAAGGATGTTCTAACACAACACGTGCATGTACGTAAAGTAGATAGATGACATTGAACGTTTCAGTTTTAGCGGTTTCGATGAAGCTGCCGTTTCTTAGATCGTTCTTCCAAGATCATGCAAGCGCTTCAGTAACAGGATGTATTTATTAGTTTTGATAAACTAGCCTGTGATTTTCCACCGGAAGCGCCATTAATTATGCTTCCACTGGCTTGCCAAGAAACTGTGTTAGTGTTTAAGTATACTTATCTATCCTTTATATATACATACGTGTCGCTACGTATACGTAGTCGTTGCATACGTGCCTGTGCATAACAGTGCTTTTTTACACCGAGAAACCAACTTGTTCGATTACGTTCCACTGAAATAAATTACTGTAGTTACCAGACCTGTGCAGTTATTTTTAACTATTTAACGTAACGCGAGTTATTTTCGAGTTATCGAGTTATAACGTAACTCTGAAGCGTAACTCGTCTCCCCGAAAACTTAACTCTAGCGTAACTCGCTCAAAAATTGTATGTATTGTCTATGGTAGCGTAACTCGCTGAATAACTCGAAACTCGGTTTACTTGCATTAATAGCGTAACTCGTAGCGTAACTCGCACGCTCCCTATAACTCCTAACTCTAACTCTGGGTCAGTTTTCCATAACTGCACAGGTCTGGTAGTTACAGTCGACCACTGTTGGTCGACTTGCAGAAAATCCAGGTTCAAATAGTACGTTATCTAATTCAGTCGTAGTTGGCGTAATTGCCTTAATTTCTCATAACAAAGGCTATCAGATAGTGTGAATTTTGGAATGCAGAATCGAAAAGCACAATTTTCAAAAACTTTTAAAATCACAGCAAAACGCCAAAACCACCCTGCCGACACGGCCAGAAATTGAGGCACTTTTACTGTGACCAGTAAACACGATTGATGGCGGTGTCCGCTATGGTTAATAAGTTTAATTCAGTAGTATTCGGTACGAATCAGTAGGATTAGCGATCGTTCAGTGTCCTTATTGCTGTGAAAATCGCAGACGCTGACCACGAACAAAATTGAGCTATCTGTGTATCAGGCTGATATGAGTCATAATATAGAAAGATTATACGTACGAAGAACTGAAATAAATGCTTTAAACTGCCACAAGTTCACACTTTCGCCTCTTGTTGAAACAGAACCTCACGCTAGCACGGCGTGTCTGAATTCGGCCTTACGGTTAATCTTAAAGTTTTATTGACCAAACCTACCCCTGTTTACAAACTGTACTACCACACGGTTGATTGTCTTATCGCTTCGTACGGAGGACGATAGGAGTACATAGTGAAACACAAGAACGCTGTTTACTCACGGACAACAAAACTGATTTTACCCATTAACCAGCCATTTGTTAAGCTTTATTTCTCCAGCCGCGTAGACGTTGTTTTAGGTTTACTCTGTAGCTGGGAGTCAATGTAACATGCTCATAGCAAATTTTACTGTTCAATGTTTTTAGAATACGAGCCTATAAGGCTTATTTCAGCTTGGTAATTGGGTTTGCGCACTTTCGTATACTCTGTAGGCACATTTCTTACGGGTACCGCATAGCCTTTGTCAAGAAGTCTAATAATGAAAACACAACAAAGTCCCGCCTAGGCGATCGGTCAGTCTTCTCTCGCGGCACCATTTACCAACGCGTTTGTAATTCGAGGCCGTTTCGGTTCACGTCTACTCCGAAAAAGATGCCGCAGACCTATGGAAATGGAATTATGTGTGGGGCTTTTGGGATTGCATTTGCCGGCTATTTTGCGATATGTAGTTTCGCGCTTATAACTCCTGCAGGTAATCCGCTATTGCTGGAAACGGGGGGGGGGTGTTTAGAAGGCCATTTAACTTCTGCTAATAGATAAATAAGTATATTTAGGATATACCGGTATCTTCTTCAGCTTATTAATACAAAATCTCACTCTCAAAATCAGAACATACGAATTTTGTTTGCTCGTTATTCAACAGTCCCAACATTTCAACCACTCGTGTTTAGTTTTACTGCATCTAAGAACATTACAACTTAATTGTTGTTTAAGAGTGGCAAAATGTCACCGAAGCTAACGAACCACAAAGGAATGTTACCTTCGCCACCGCCGATAATTTTATCGCTGCTAATACGCAGCACGATGAACCGGCATCCGCTGATGTCAGAAACCTCCAGCAAGGCGCACTGACTTCCGGGGATTCGGGCAACGGAACATTGCCCACCAATGCATCGTGCCCACCTATGGTATCCCGTGCCGAATGGAACGCCCGTGATCCGATCTATAATAACCAAACCGAGGTCAAAATATTTTTACAATTCCCGTTGCGTTACATGGTGTACACACAAACTGTAACTGGCACCACGGTGCACGGAACGTGCACCGATCGAGAATCCTGCAAAAAGACCGTCAGGGCCATACAGGACGATCATATGGGCTTCACGCCGGCATCCACTACGAAATTTGCCGATATCGGCTATCAGTAAGTGCCAGCCCGCATTATTAATCTGTTACGGATCACCCGTTACCTTTTCGAGTTGACTGATTGACCGGTTATTGCGACCGTGTTAAAATGGCCGAAAGAAACTTCTAGTTAAGTTAGTGTGCAGATATCTGTACATAGTTAGTCCCGCCAAAAATTCAATAACCGCATGCGATATATAGTTATACGAGTACCAGAAAATAACTCAATCAAAGAACCGTAGGTTTGAATATTGTGACATTGTAGCTTTCTAATTGCAATGGACGGATCGGTTTTTGAAGGCAGGGGATGGCTGGTTAAAGGCTCTTATTACAAACCGTTAAACACGCAAGGATTTGGGGTCGCCTTTATTGGGACATTTCCTGAGGCTGGTACGCGCGCTTGCTCACAGAAATAAGTGTTTTTCTGATATTGTACTTTACTGCTCCATCTGTGATAAAAGGGAAATACTCTGTAGGTATGTTTGTCTGTTTGTTCATTTTGTCTATACTTTGCTTATACGCGTGTGTAACATCCTCGTGCAAATGTGACCGAAGTGACGAATTTTTTTGTAAAATGCAGTTATTCAAAAGAAGAGACATTTTTTTTCAAAAACGTAACCAACAATCAAATTATGGCAGTATTTATTTACAGGAACAAGTGTCGCACCTCTGACTTATGAAGCTGTTCTCTCAGCACACCGGCTGCTACGGTGTGCCCTTTCCGAAGATTACCTCGTCTCGGTAAACTACTCGGTGATGGCATTGCATTTAAGCCCGATAGTCAGTCAATACATTGACAATCCCGACACGTTCCCGCGCGATTCTCCGTAAGACTAATTTTGTCATACGTAGTTATACTGATTGCGTTAAGCAAAGCGAGGTCTGGCAAATTTAAGCTAATTTGCTCCCTTAATGATTGCACCGTTAACGTTTTCAGCTGCATAGCGCACACACCATTATTCAGCGGTACTGAAAATGCGCGATGGAGAAGCTGTAGTTAGTTAATAACCATCAATTAGTACGCAATCCCTGTATGTCGATTCGCATTGCAGGTTACTAACACCAGCCATGATTGTTGTGGTATCCATTGGCTGTACTGTCGCTTTAGTTTTTATTATCGTTTTCGGCATCTCGAGTTGGAGAAAGTCGCGGGCATCGATTGAACAGGTACGGGTAGGAAGAATTTAATGACCTTTAGAATTTGCAAAAGGGGTGACCTTAAAAAGGCACCGATTAATTCCGGAATTCAGACCCTAAAATTTAAGCCGATACCTCCGTGCGTTTAAACATTAAAAACTTCGCTTCACCCACAATTCCTCCACTGGAAGTTGATGTTCTAAGCGCAAAAGGTTTTCACGCCAGTGTATAGTTGGCTCCAGAGTGCCATTCAAGAACTTGTTCGGGAGTGCGCGAAAGCGAAAGTTTTGGTGTATGTACGCCAATTTTATACCACGTACCGGTTCATTTCCTTTAAGTCACGCTCCGGTCTACCAATGCACGCGAACGTGCAGTTTTCTAGTATAAGAAGTATTTTAGCAGCTGTCCACAGTTGACTGAATAACCCTCTGAATAACTACGGCATTTCTTCCTTTTCCATTTTGTGGTGGCAATAAAAATTTGAACAAGATCAGATGATACTAAAGCTTTTGGTAGCCGTTAACCATGCGTTATCATCCTCCACGAGAATTTGCATAAAAAAGCACATCAGCATGTTGAGTGTTTATTCAACGAGAACGGGGCTGTATCGAAGTCACTTTTTTGCGTCCCTTTTCTAGATTTAAAAAAGAACAAAATAATTCTCAGATTTTTAGAATTCATTTTACAACTTTACATACTTCGCAAAAACTTAACTGCACAGACAAGAACCGTTGCAACTTGCAACGTGCGAGGTATTGCACATACAACGGATTTGAAAAAAACTGGTAAAGCATATGCATGCTTGTATGGATTCAACTGTACGTTACAGTTAAGCCATTTTAATGTTGTTAAATATGTAATATATAACACAATTATAATAACATAATATTGAACAATATAACAATTAAATACGAGGGCTACTCGGAAAGTAATGATAATCAGTATCAGTTAGTAATCATAAAATTATGCACTAATTTTTTAAAAACTGTAGCATTCATAACTAGATCATAGGGCAATGGCCGTGGCCATACCGCCTAAGGTTGGCGGTTTGCAAGACTCTGAACATGGCTGGGTAGCGCTGATTTTTCACTGATCACTGAAAACGTTGCCTTAATTACTGGCCAGTTTTCATGATATTATTTTGAAAAATTGATTTGCAGAGAGAAGTGTAGAATTTTTCATGCTGCATTGCCTGTTCTGTTGCCTTAATAAGGACCATTCTTTGCTGATGTTGCCAGCTGGTTCCAGCGAACTCGCACCGAAATCCGTTTTGACAACGGTGCTCAAATTTTGGAATGTTTTTTGCGTTTTCACTTTCGAAAAGTCCTCATAGTCGAAACCCTGATCGGGAAGTATTCATTTCCGACCCCGAAGCAATAGCAGAGGGTCTAAGCATTATGGAAGGAAAGGTGTCGAGGGTGTGCTGCAGCTTCTTACTGATAAAGCAGAAGAAAATGGTTTTTGACACGGTATCACCCGTGTGGTGCAATATCGCGAAAATCCACAGATAAGCACTCCGTCATTGCTTTATTTTTTTTCTCGGCCTGGAGTAAAAGTATCGTTCCACATTATTTTTCTTAGGTTACCTTAGTCCTTTATCTGTTCGAAATATTTCCTGGCTTGAAAAAATTGTTGCGTGGCAAAAAGTTTGAAAATGATGAAGAACTGGAAGAAAATATCAGTACACCGATCTCTAAGATACCGCCTAATTTCTTTTCGAAAGCGTTTGATGAGTGGCTGTTTAGCTGTTTACGTTGTATAGAGATTAAGGGACATTGTTTTGAGAAAATACGAGGAAAGCGCTGATGCAATAAAAAATCGTGCGATAGTTATCATTACTTTCCGAGTGACCCTCGTAACAAAATTGGATGGTTAAGCTGTATTATGGTTTCTGGTTTATAAAGCCTACACGTAAAGTTCACCTGCGATAAAACACAGTGATAGCTTTTTTTGTTTTTAGGAACCGCTGATGCCAGAAGCCCAGCTTTATACGAACTACCAGTCGGCAAATCAAGGAGCGTTTCTTCCGCAAGTGCGTGACTTAAGTCCCGGAAAAAATATGCTGACATTGCACCGCTTAAATATGGTTTTGAATTATTTCCGTTCATAAGCATTGTCCATTACGTATTTAGCAAAAGGCACAAACTACATACATTTGTGGTTGAAACTTCGAAGCTGGTTCGAACGCGGAGCTTTTCCCTTTTTGAAATTACAGCAGGGATCGCATTTTTGTACTGCACACACTTTGGGTTGCAGAATTTAGAAAGGCCAAATGAGATAATCAGCAGAACGTCTGTTTTTACAGGCTGACGCTTATAAAATATTGGGCAGCGACTGTCGATACCAGTATTTACCGAACGAGGTTATAGGAAGCGGATCGGCAGGGACGGTGTACAAGGCACGGATCACAGATCGTGGGACATATACCGGCGACGGGGAATTGGCAGTCAAAGTTATACACATGAAAAACACGGATGAACGGGAAACAGAAGCCGAACAACTTAGAAAATTCAGTGACAAATGGAAGAAATTGATTAGCCTGAACTGTACGCATCTGGTGGCATGCCATAAAATTTCCATTTATCAAACGGAAACCGGATTTTCTGTGGAGATCCTGATGGATTATTGCAATGGTAAATGTGTCAGGTGCATAAATTACTTAAAACAAAGTCTTTTCGCAATTTTGTTGTATAATAACAATTAACAGGTCGTGATTTGGAGCAGCTGCTATCCAGAATCAAAACCGATCGTGCGCTGTTGGATCGAGGAACCGCCTTGTGTTACGCACTGCAGATTGTCAATGGGGTGGAATTCTTACATGAACGACAGCTGATGCACGGCGACTTAAAACCTGGCAATGTTTTTGTCAAGTACAGTAAGCTTCGGCATTTTACTCTAGTCCTTGGCGATTTGGATTGCCTTGTGCACATGCCGCATAATACTATTACCGCCACCCAAGGGACCAATATTTTGGGTACCGCAAAATACATGTCACCTGAGCGCGTGCGCCGAAACTGTCATGGAGAGCTTCAGGTTCCTAGCAAGAAAGCTGACATATGGAGTGTCGGATGTATTATGCTGGATTTATTTGATTACTCCTCTGGAATTTATACGCGAAAATTTCAAAAAGCCGGCTCTCCGCCTGAAGAGCCCGATACAATTCTTGTAGAGAATATGGAAGCCCAAGTCCTCATTATGAGAATCATGAACGGTTATGTTCCGTTCGTTAGCGACAGGTTGGACCCGCGGTTATCTAACATCATCAGCCAGTGTTTAATTGTGGACAGCACCAAGAGGCCTTCCGCGGGGGAAATACACTGCAACCTCGTTTCGTTGTTGGTCCACATAGCAACACATCAAGATAGAACTTTTATCAGCCAGATGGAGGTTACACGGCAGTGCGTTTGCGGAAGCCACTTGGCAGAAAATAGCTTTAATATTAACTCTTAATTCGATGGTCGTTTGGGACGTTGCAAATCTTTAATAAGTAGGCAAGCTTTGAAAGGGAATTCCGAACAATAGTTGCTGGGCGAGTGTAGACAACTTTTAAACAATAAAAAACTGGTACTCGCAAATAATGACGTTGATTCGGTTTCCGTCTATTGTTTTTGCCGAAAATTGTGGATTTCGCGGAATACCAGGCATTTGCCTGAATTTCATGCTCTACCGCCAACGAAACTTACCGTGCGCTTTAAAACAGTCTCTGCGAATAAAATGTCTTATAATTCGAAATCTCGAATTTATGACATGATTGTGATAATGTCGAATCTCAATTTGTGGCGCAAAGTATCCAGAACTGAAAACAGGAGTGGCCATCATTTGTTAATTAGTAGTTTCACATTACTCGCTATTATTCCGCTGAGATTACATAGATACGAGTAGAAAGAAGGATGGCTTGTGAACAAGTTTCTGCTGTTGATGACAGGTCGGCAGCTTTTTCGCTGCAGTTTCGGCTGTACTATTTGCACTATTCAGAATTCCCGTGAACTTTCGATGCACCCATGTCGGCTCGTTAACGTAGTAATCAATTTGTGAATATTAATTAATCCACTCGGTAGCCGGTGCGCAAAGGAAACGGATCTGCACTACAGTCGACAGTGGATAATAAAGATCCTCTTTGACAAAATCAGGGCTGTTAAAAATTTCTTCAGTGTAATGTCCCTCGAACGAATACCTTCGCTCACTTCAGCTTGAATTTGCAGGTTTTTGTTTGCTCGCCATCACGCGCGATATCAAGCAAATTCGCAGCTGCAATGGAGATGGCGAAGGAAGCTGGGAAACGGTGGATCGAAGCTGTAATATCTCTGACAAAAAATCAAGGCAGTGGAATGCGAATTCCATCCTAATATAGTAATAGGTAACTTATGCATATACCGTAACTTATGCATTCAAAATAGGCAAATGAATATAATATAGGGATATTGCAGCATACGATGTGACGTATTTTTTCGCGGTAGTTCGTTTTTCTCTTCAGATGACATTGTAGCATACAACAAATACAGAAAGAAATCAGATTCGAAAATTACGGTGAAAGCTCGTTTTAACCAGAACTTACAGATCAACCGTTATTTTTCTGATTTTGTTAGATTAGGACCGCTTCTCTCGTCGGTGGAAAATCGAGTACTTCATTCAGCTCACCGGAAGTAAGAACGGTTGATACACCAGCATTTGCAGCTCATGGCGAATCGGATAATCCGTAAAATAATGATCCAGCTTAGGTCGAACTGGATGTGTTGCTTTAGTGTACTTTGGACATATAGCAAGTTGGTTCATTAAGTGAGTATTGGTGTAGTAATTGATCCATTCCGCACCGAAAGGAAACGGTTTGGCGGTACAGTTAATCGGAAGATAAAGATCCTCTTTGCCATATCCAGCGCTTTGGAAATGTTCCTCAGAGTATCGCATATCGAACGAATACAGTTCGCCAACTTGTGCGCAGAGTCGCAGGTTTTTATTGGATCGCCACCACGTGCGGTACCAAGCAAACTCGCAACTGCAATGGAGATTGCGGAGGAAGTTGCGGAAAGGCGGATCAAAATTGGAGTAGTTTTGCTCCTCCCGCAGCAACCGACCTGCATTGATTTTATTGTGGTATTGTAAAATATAACAACCCGCAGCCGCTTCGTGGTAGTAAAATCCTGCTTCTCAATAATCAAGCTGCGACAGTCGTGCAGCTGGAAATCCAGAAGATTAGTAAAATTCAAGGCGTTCAACCTCGAAGTCGCGCGCTCGGTGGTACAGTTGCGTAGTTGTAGTCTCACGACTTGGGTTTGTATGGGCGCAAATTGGTACTTTGCGATAAGTTCTTCTTCGACGTCCATGGAAAGCGGTCGCAACGGTTCTCCAGCCATAGCCTCCGCCATCCACTGCAGCACGGTAACAATTGCTATGGACTGGCAGCCAACCCGGAAATCGGTTTGTTCGGTGCAGTTATGGATTGTAGCGACGTCAGATTTGCAGTAGCGATTAAACTGTGCCCCACACTCGTCATCCGTCACTAGTTCGAGGGAGAACATCGGGAAATCGTTATCGTCCGAGTACGGTTGTTTACTGCCGCGGGGGACATTCAGTGGACACTTGTAGGCAATCAGAATTTTAGCCAAGTCTGTCGCACTTGGGTTTCCATTCGTCCCAGGCGCATTGTCACAGCGTTTTTGGATATCATCACAGGACTGCGATCTAGTGATCCCCCAAACACAAAATGATGTTGGATGGAAGAGTAGTCGTACTTTGTTCCGAATGTGTACATTGCCGGATTGATTGAATAGAATTCTCTGTAGATTTGGCTGTCGACGCTGGCATTACGCACTTCAACATACTGGTCCCGGTCGGGACGTTTTTGTTCGTAATCAAAGCCCAATGCATGCATAACCACGGCCTGAATGATTCCTGGCTTTAAGCATTCTGATGGGTCACCCAGGTAAATCCGTTGATAGTTACCAGTTTGCCCAAGGTCTGAATGGCAACTAAACGAAAAAACCCCGTGTTCAGGTTACTATTACTGTATAAATGTACTGTAGTTACTTCTGCCGGTATAAACTATACAGACAGAATTTTTTAAACAGTGAACACACTTGGCTGAATAGCCCTCTGAACTGTATGTCGAGCGAGTAATTCTTTCAAGCTTTTAAAACAGAAAACACTTAAGTAAGACAGAAAACGATCTAATAGTAAGTCTACAGATGCTTAAATGTATGTATTTATGACTTTATTAAACGTATGTATTTGTGACTTTTCTGACTTGCTCCAAGATTACAGACGGACTGTAGCGGTAGCTGCTTAGCGAAAAGTAAAGAGAGTAAAGTTCGTCCGTTCTGGGTTTGAACAAAATGCAGCCTCTGGTGGTTTTTTCCATTGTGCGAAGACCTTTGAAAATCGCTTGCCGCTGTGATGGACCTGTTCAGCAGTGCAAGTAAAGCAAATCACTAAAACGCAAGGAAACACTACGACTTATAGCAATGCACGCACACGATTTAGAAAACCATACAAGGGGAATAGATAGCACAGTCCACTGAGACACTCCATGCTCTTTCTCCAGTCATCCGCCTGGAGATTCTTGTCATGGGTGCATAGTGCATACAGCGCCTATGCAACCGTGTGATAACACCCCAGTCGGATGACTGGATGATTGCCATTATAGTGCACGAAAATACTTTATGTACGCACACAGAATTACGCTGTTATATCAATAGATTCATATATCCTTACGTCCTTATTTTTTGGAAATTATCTCCTAAATCAAGATTAATTTTTTCAATAAGTTGATAATTTTATAAAATAGAGCATCGCACAAACGTTCCTACCTTTATCTTCAAGAAAATGTTAAGTTTTGGAGAAGGTCTAAAATAATTTTTAGAGGCTGTAGTACTTAAAGGTTGTTAGTTTTGGAAATTATCTCTTAAATCGACATTGATTTTTTCATCAAGTTGTTAATTTTATAAAACAGAACATCGCATAAACGTTCCTACCTTTATCTTTGAGAAAATCTCAAGTTTTGGAGAAGGTCTAAAAAAATTTTTAGAAGTTGTAGTAAAGGTACTTAAAGGTTGTTAGTACTTAAAGGTTGTTGGTACTTGAAGGTAGTAGTACTAAATGGAGCAGTGTAGTAGTACCTTACTTAAGTTGCAGTAATTAGATGTATCAACAGATTCATATATCCCTGCGTCCTTATTTTTTGGAAAATATCTCCTAATTCGAGATTCCATTTGTTAGCTTTTGATAGTTTTATAAAATTCAGCATCTTCCAAAGCCTCCTACCTGCAGCTTGGAAAACAAATTTTGGTTTCCGGAACGTTTTCAAAACCCTTTCAAACTTTCAGCACTTAACGTTTAAAGTTCATAGAAATTTCTCGTGAATTTTGGAAACGTCTCGGATGAGCAAATACAAGTTTCGCAACCTAGCAACCTAAACTGCAGTTATTTAAAATTGTCAATTCCATCAAACTTATAATTTTGCGAAGTGTCTCGGGGCAACGGTTTTTGTTGGAATTGCAATACTTTATAGTGGTATTGTTGCCTGGAAATGGAATTACGCGAATAAAAACAAAATATCGCAGAATTTTAAAAAAATAAATGTTTTTTTTTACCCTTCCTGAAATATGAATGGCCCCTTGGGGGCCGGGGGTTTCTTCATAACCGCTTTACTAAATTTACAAAATTTTATCACAATTAGAATCGCGTCAGTTTTTTCATGCAAATCGGATGCTTGCATGAGTGTAAATTGCTGCAAACGGGCATTTCGCCTAAGCTTGGGCGCAGCTGTGACCTTCGTGGCAAATTTTTTACTAATAGTAAAGCAAATCTGGGACTCAGAACACAGTCTGAGATATGACAAATTCCATTTTATTTAACAGCCATATGTTTTTCTCAAATGCTTTATCGTAAAGAGAACGCCACGTTCCTGAGTTTGTCATGAAGCCTGATTATTTCGATATGGGGTCGAATGTTCTAGAAATGTTTGGACACGAAAAACTAGCTAAACACGTCCAGATCCATTTTTGATGCCTTCACGACTTGTTAATTAATGGTGAAACAGGCTCGTATTCTTAAATTTAAGCTCATGTGGCTTTAGTTTTATACTTTGTTAGATTAAGGGCATCTTGTACGGCGGTTCAGTACTGTTGTAATTGCAATCAGTGCCAGTATTTAGTAACAACAGTGAAAAATATTGCAGAATCGCCTCAGTAAAGTGCAGTGAGTAACAGTATTTAGGAATATACTGTACTTATAATAAGTATATCTAGTACTGTAGCGGATGGTACACGAAATAGTTTCGGCTTCGCCTCCGCGTTTCTTGTGGTCTAGGGTCGCTTACAACATCACTAATTTCGCGCACAAATGCGTTAGGTGCTTGCCGGGCAGTGACAGTATCGCTCGGATAGCACACTGATTTTATTGCAAACAATGGTAGGTTCGCGTTAAACTTGGACCGTCAGAAGAATGAACCTAAAGGTCAGCCTTTTTGGAGCAGCGCTTTAATGTGATGTTAATGACCAGTTCTTTAGCTACTATCGAATTTCTAGACCACCAACTAGGAAAAGGAAAAACTAGGAAAAGGAAAAACTAGGAAAACGAACTTTTGCGTGCACTGAAAGACCGGAGCGCGGCGTGAAGGGTGTGAAGGGTTTAATAACTACTATACAGTAGTTTATTATTAGTTTTTTAAAGTATATTTGGCGAGTTGATGAATTTTTATCAGCGCACCAGTGTATATACGTTTAACGGCCATTACGAGATACTATGTACGTTGATTCAAGAAAATGCTGTTTTTCGCTTATTCCGATAGAAGGCAACCGACATGTGCCCAGAAGCAAGGTTGCGGAATAATGAGAGTAGTTCCTGAAAAACGTTAACACTAGACGAAGTTTTATTGCACCCCTTGCCGGAGCGATAAAACTGCGCCTGTCACGCCCTTGCCTTAACAATTTATTTTGTTGAATTTAATTCGAGTTCGGCTGAGCCCGTGCCTTAGATTATGGCCGTCAAGAAATCAATTTTTTTAGATCTTCTTCCCGTACTTTTTTTCGCTTATCGTTGACCATGAGGATACAAGCTAGGGAAGCTGGGCAGAAACATTTACAGTAATTAATGGTTGCCATATTTCAGCGAGAACAAATGTTTTTTCCTACAGAGAACAAGATTTTGGCGAAAATGATAGCAAAGTCTAAGAGAAGGCTCAACTATCAAAACCTAATTGTTCAAATATCTCTCCGTGGTTGACAAGTTATAATGCAGCAGCGCTTCGGCTTCAGCGGCTAATGCGAAATGCATGATATGGCCATTCGTTGCTGGATGCCTGACAGCTGATTTAGGCAACCTTTTAGCTTCGAGTTCTAATGGGCTAATTTTCGGTTTTCTTGAAATATTTTTTCCAGGAAAGAGGACGTGAGTTGTTTAAATTTTCATAAGCGTAAAAATCGGAAATTTTATAGTATATTCATTGGTTGCAAATTGCAGCATTTATGTAAAAAGCCATGCCCATGCTGAAGTCTAGCTAGGGGAACACAACGGTGAAGCTTGAGTTATTTTGGCTGCTTAAGGTTCTTAGTTTTCTTTTGTTGCCCAAATGTCAGACGGTTTAAGTGCCAAAGAGCATGATTTTGGGTAGAAATCAGAAATTTACATAAATTGTTAATAAAATCGATACGACTATTTTTTAGTGAAGTTAAATCAATCATTACGCTTCGTTTTCATAAGTATAAGCTTAAAAATTTTGTGTTGAATCTTAGGTCGCTGACCTGATCCGCGCATTTTGCGCGAGAAGCACACATTTTTCCGGCTTTTGCTGCCCGAAAAGTGCGCGTCATAGCCTGTCCCTTTACAGTTTCCTGCTTGCGCTGGTCTCCTGGTTTCCTACTCTAGCTATCTGTATAACCACTCGTCGACGTCTGTTTCCTGTTGGGAATATGTCCATATACTGGCTTTCTGTCCCCAAGCCGGTGCAATAAAAAAACTTAGACAATTAAATAAGTTTTGACGAAGTATGAAGCTACAGGATAAAAAAACGACGACGTAATAAGGAAGTTACAGTAAAGGAAGTGACTGCGTAATACGGAACTTATGTTCCACTTCCGGGACAGGCAGACATTTTTCTAGTTTTGCTGAATTAGAGGACCTTCGCTCCGATCCGGTCGAATATATTAAATACTGAATAATTAAATACTAAATAAATAAATATACTAAAATTAATAATAAATACTAAATAATTAATTACTAAATCAATAATTGTACTAAATACACTAAATACTAAATATTTAAATGATAATTGTATTTAAGTTTAAATGCTGTACTGTACTTCTTACAGCAATTTTTTATATTATTTTCATCGGTGGGTGAAAACAGAATTTTTATTATTTGCATTCGCGCATGACATATTTAATGCTAATTGAGTACAGTCTACAGCGGATTACCGTAGTACGAATACGGTAATTATTAATTTTCACTTGACAGAATGACAGGCAGTGTACAGTACTCCACCGTACTCGTGTAAGTCGTATTGAACACTTACTCTTTACTCGTACGTTTATACTTTTCTCCGTAAACGACTGTAAAAAGAAGTGCAAAGAAAGGTCAGCCGGCTTGGACGATGATAACGGAAAACGTTTTAGTTTCTGGTAAAAAAGGAATCAGGTGTGTAAAAAAGGAATAAGTATTTTTAATTGCAAATTAATTATATTTTCTTTTATAAAATATCCAATTCCATTAAACAAAATTCCATTAAAAACGAAAACAGTTGCCCCGAGCCTTGAGCATAATTTTGTTTTAAATTCTTGAAACCTTTAACATGTTTTTAAATCTGTTCGAATACCTCAAAATAACTACAAATTTTTCCAAAGTCGGTTCCAAAGCTTTAACATTTCCAGAATTTCTAAATATTTTAAACTATTTCGACTCGGCCCCGCTGCGCGGGGCCGTTACCTCTGATTTTTTTAGCCTCCTGAGTTTCGAAATTTTAAAAATATCTAGAAACCTGAGTATCTCAATATCTCACGGTCTAAATTGTCTAATTTATATGTAATTTCTAAATATCTAAAAGCCGGGCGGCGGCCCGTATACCGTATTCACTCACGTAGCGGCTCTGTGATACTGGTGGTAGTTTGGGCATCACTAACCTACGTTGCTCTGAAATTCTGGTGGTAGCTTGAGTATTCACTAACCTCAAAATCTATTAAATATCTATTTATTTTATTTTATTAAATACTGAATAGCTTGACTGAATGGCTGAAAATCTTACAATTAGTAGCTAAAGATGCAGCCTGCGAGGTCACCTTGGGCAACCGCTAATTGTTTCCCACAAGTTTCCATTAATTGTGCGCTGAAATATCGGCTGAAAAATTTTTTATGGGCATCGTGTAAATGATCCCACTCCATCCATTTTATCACCGTTTAAATATTATCTGTCGTACCAAAAAATTCAAGTTTTCAATTCGTTAGATCGGCAATAAAAATTTACATTAAAAAAACGTGAACACGAACCGTGAAAAAGGCAAACAAAAAGAAAAATTACGGAGGCTTTCACCGATTTTATAAAACTGGTCCAATTTAACCGGAAAGGTTGATAACTGTCCGCATTTCTACATGTTTAAAATATTTTCGTAGCTGGCCTCGCTGGGGTTTTATATTTGAGAAATATTCCTCAAAATCTTTTTTATTGCTGTACGAAGTATATTTTGTGTTTCTATCACTCTTCCATACCTCGAACACAACTGGTCGCGCGCTAGCGCGACCGATACTTGTACATAATTACGAGTATTTATAATTATCTTGTTTCTGTAGAAATGCTGCAGTACAGTAACGTGCATTTATGTACTCACTAAAGCTGTCGCTGATCTAGTACGGGATGGCAGCAGGGTTTGGCCACAGTCTTGGCCCGGTTTTCGCAACGGCAATTGCATCCGAAAAGTAAGCTATGAAAACAATCATCCCAAAATACGGCAACTACAGTACCTGTGCATGGCACGTTAAAATGTCTGCCAGTGTTTGTTTGAATGCTGGCATAAAAACATATTTTGTAGGAGACAGTTGCCTAGTAAGGTACGAGTAGATCAAGAGACGTATATTACATTATACATAATCTATACTACATTACGTATACTACATAACGTATCTTTGCAACGATCACGGTTTGAGTGTCTGATGTACATAATACATGCACGTGTGAAGTGATGCGAACAGCCCTGGGATCAACAAACAATCTATCTATTTAAATTAGTGTATGTATCTATGTATCTATCGAAATTACGTAGTGTATAACGGCATAGTGTTGATTAAACATTGATATAAGCATTATAGTAAAGTATATATTATTATATGTATGTACGTGTATTTTACTTCACTGAATTGTAATTATTAAATCAGTGTTGACTGAGCTTCCCATCTGTTATTTCAACGTCTCCATTATCGTTTGCAATGGTGCAACTGAACTAAAACACACTGCAGCAGCTAGAAGATAATAGGTAAAGTATCGATTTATGCTCATCGAAGAGCTGCAGAGCATTTGAAGCGCTGCAAACACGAAAAGAATTAATTTTTTAATATCTGTATGTAGCTAGAAATCATTCAACACCAGCCGCCTGTGCTAGTGCGTTATGTGGTTTTTTGGAATAAAAATAAAGAACAGCGTGTTTTTAGCGCTTAGTAAGAAAAGTTTGACACAGTGAAAAATCGACTTTGCAGTTGCGACATTTTGAATGTACAATGTACAATGCAATATGTAGAGAATGTTGTAAAAATGTAAATGACCTCAGGCATTGATCAGCACACATTTTTTTATCCACCGGAACTGACGACAGTTCTCATGATAGTCTGAACCCGGTACCGTTTGCCCCCCGGAAATAATCCATATACCGCGCAAAACAATCTTGTCTCAATAAGCCGAATAAAATATCCCTTTCTTTTCTTATTATTAAATCGGCGCGATCCAGTTGTTATCGCCCATAAGAACATTACGAGTATACGAGGCTGGTCCCAGTCTGAATATTCTGTATATCATGCCGTCGCTGACGCTCATGCCCCAAAAAACTTCTTTCGCTTTGACGCTCAGACAGTGATATTCGATTCGGTCGGCGTTTGAATATTTTCATTTATTTGTTATACGAGCACGAAATACTCTGTGTTGTCACCTGGCTGGCGCCTATTAAAAACAATTTGGTGGCGTCGGTAATCGATCAGTGCCTAATGGTCCAGTATTTTCTTCAGCTTCGTAACGACACAGAAGCGATACGGATGAACGGTTAGTAACACATGAAAACGAAGGCTGAACTCCACTGAAGTAAATTCATTATTATTTATCCATAAGCAACCTGGCTTGCATTATGTAGCGGGCAATTTTACTTACGATTACCAGTGAACTACCCTTTGTTAGACAACTGAACTGCTTTCGTGAAGTTTTGCCGTCTAAACTTCTGCTTTCGTAACGTTTAAAATATGACTGGAATGAATGCCTTCTTTCCCATAAGCAGTATTTAATCACGATTAAATTACATCCGTGAGAACATGATGCTACGTCCGATAATTTTCTGCAAAATGGCGAAATGTTATAAACGGAACGTCGCAAAATGGGAGCAGCTATCAGATATTGTGCGGCCTCGTTTTGTACTTGTTGACGTTGGTAAACGACTAAACGGCATTAAAACCAACACTAACAAGATGGTTATATGTACAGTAGTATGATTAATTCAAAGGTCTGACTGCAAAAGCGTTCTTACACCTCCATCTCATACGCAAAGCAGATAAGTACAGTTTTATTTGACGATATTCTGCATATCGAAAGGTCAAACTAAAAAAAGTGTCGAAGCGCGGATTTTGTTTTTCGGAAACGTCTTAGATACTTCTAGTTCAGGAATTAATTTAAAATTAATAACCCGTATTAACAATTTAATTTAAACCCCTTATACGGATTACGGCTTTTCAAAGCATTGCGAATAACTGCAGTTTTGCAGCGTTAAAGATTTTGATGTGACACATCCTTCGTGACATTCGCAAGCGATGGAGTCGAGACGAGGACTAGTCACCGCCCGTGCATCTTCTTGAAGATTAGCTTGACGGGTTTCAATTTAAAACGAGAATACAGTATGTTGAATTACCACGGAGATACTACCTATTTTTCCATAGTGACCTTTACCCTATTGGCCAGCTGTTATACAGCCTGCTCTCTCCGCATGCCGTTGCCATCTGGTTAGTGTGACACTGGAATTCTTTCATTGACAATAACCAAATTGTTCGCTGTGTTTGTGTTTGTTTTTGTGCTTGTGTTTCATTCAATGTTTGAGCACACTCAATATGTTTGTACATATTTGGCGAAACGCTATCCAGTTTTCTCAGGGTAATTCCTTATTAATGTGATCATGTTAATAATGGAAAGTCTCTTGTATCCCAAACTCAGTATTCAATCGCAAAAAAATTACAACCGTCCGTCCAAATTTTACAGACCATCAGATCTCGAAAAACTGCGCTGAAAATTATGGAGATAAGCCTGTAATCGCGTCAAAAATGCGGTCACCGATGACACTCTACGAGCTTATGGTCAGTCCATTGGCTATTACTAATAGAGCACACCGGTCGGTTTCACTTGATATGGATGCGACGCGTTCAGCAGCTAATGTTTCCGCAACATCTGCTGACGTATGTCCCGAGATAGTAGAGCGTTCTGAATGGAACGCCAGAGAACCCATCTATGGACCTGAAACGGAAGAGCCAGCGAAGCTGCAACTACCACTGAAGAACATGGTGTATACACAGACATATTCGGGATGGCCGTGTATGACCCGTGAAGACTGCAAGATCACCGTCAAAGTCATACAAGACGACCATATGGGATTTGGAGCAACTAATAATAAATTCTCCGACATCGGCTATCAGTAAGCAACTGCACTTGCCTCGACACATTCGACATCTGCTCTTCTTACAAATGATTTACTTTACTAATTTTGGTTGCTGAACACAGTTAGGGCAGTTTAATCTATCCTAGAAGCTCTTAAACATTATTTCATAAAAAGACGCCGTAGTACAGTATTACGGCTCACTGAAATTTCGTCCACTAACAATTCGTCGCCCGACATGATCTCGACAGAAAAGATAAGAAAACATATGAAACATAGAAAACTAAGACTGTTTAGCTAAACACTAGCTCGAAGTCGTGACGATTCGACATCGCGTCTTTTCGACCAAGTGCCGGTCGACGAATCGTGGTCGAGTTTACTACATCGGTGTACAGCACTTTACCACCACAAACGCATTTCAATACAACGGAATGCTTAACTGACCAGCCAAAACTAAGCACTCAAAAAGTTTATCATTCTTTTATTTTCTTAAGACTTTTTTCCATTTTATTACAGCTTTTTGATTGGCATGGACGGGTCAGTGTTTGAAGGCCGTGGATGGTTTGTTAAAGCCGCCTACAATCGACCGTACAATTCACAAGGTTTCGGCGTGGCTTTTATTGGCACTTTCCCGGCCACCGGTACAGCATTCATTCGATGCTAACTTAAGAAATAGTATTGTTTGTGTCTATGGTATGATTTTTAGGAAACCATACAGGGCCTTTAACATACGCCGCCTTGGTATCCGGAAACCGATTATTACGCTGTGCTCTTTTCAAGGGATTTCTAGTGGCCACCGGCTACACTGTGGTCGCGTCGAGAATAAGTACGGTGGTTGGGAATTACGTTCGAAACCCCAAAAGCTTCCCACAAATGCAGTCGTAAGTGGTGTTACTTACTGAGTTCGTCAATAACATGGCGATCTGATTCTCTTCTCGTTTACTTTTGCATATAACGCACTGAACAGCTGCTCCTACTATAGCTCACCCACTTCAACGATGCAAACAAACGATGCAGTAACCACAACGTCCGCACTATCTTTACCGATAAAAGAACCGGTATATTCGGTACTGACGAAGGAAGCGATAATCGCCATTTCCGTTGGATGTAGTGCTCTGTTGGTGATTTCGATCGTTGTGGCAATATTATATTGCCGACGACGAGTTAAAAGATCACAAAAGCCCGTAGTGGGATTAGGAATGCAACAGGATGGACAGGTACGAAGTTACTCTTTTTCCAGGGTCTATTTTGAAAATTCTAATACGTAACCATAAAATTCCTTCATACGAGACACTGCTGACAGTCAACTTTTTACGTAGGCACTAACAGCCACTAGTTCCGAGAATCAGGTCAATGTGACTGAGTGGTTTGGAAGCGATTGTGCATACAGATATGAAGCCAACGATTACATCGCCAAAGGAGCGTTTGGACGAGTGTACATTGCGACCGTAACAAAACTCCGCCCCTTTAATGGTGATGCCACCATGGCAGTCAAAGTTACACATTTCGACGTCCAAGAACAAATGGAAGTCAATTCTGAACACTGGATCAAGTTACTGACAAGGTGGAGGATGCTGACTACTTTGACCTACGATCACCTCGTAACGTATCATAAGGTGTCCATTATTCGACCACGAGGCGGCCTCTCAGTGGAGTTTCTGATGGACTACTGCCGCGGTATGATTTTTATGAAAGTCGAATTATCTAGAAAATCAGATTTTATCCATGTTTATTCTCCAATGAATTAGATCTCTAATTAAGTAATTGGGATATATTCAAGTCGTTCCCAGGAGGCTCTATGTTGGTTACCATATAATTACGAGGTGAAAACTTGCAGTTCATTTTCTTATATCGGTGTTGAAAGAGGTTTTAAGTGCACTTACAGAGTACTAGTTACTACTCAAAATGTAAAAAATCTCAGTAAAACCATGGAGCATTAAAACAATATTTAGAATACCTTAAAGCCGAAGTAACGTACCGCTAACTGGACGCGTAAAAAAGCCCGATCACCTTGAATATACACATCGAAATTTCGATCACTGGCCCTGGTTCAAAGTTTTTTTAACGGATTTTGTTTTAGTCTGTGATTAGCTCCTGTAGTTGACATAACTGTGCGGCAAGTACACAAAAACAGAACTAAATATGCAACAACCGTTAATATAAAACGTTTAATCTGATACTCCAAGTGGTTGGTCTTGGAGGTAGAGTATTGAACTGTTTTTTTTATTAGGAGGTGATTTGGCTTCGGAACTCCACAAAATTAAAAAGAGCAATGTCTGCTTAGACTGGACCCGGGCGCTCTGCTACGCGCTGCAAATCGCCGATGGCTTGGAATTTCTCCACCGGCATAAGCTGATTCACGGAGACCTGAAACCGGGCAATGTTCTGTTAAAAGGTCACAACGGCCGCCACGACACACTACTAATTGGCGATCTGGACAGTCTCGTGCAGATGCATCACAACACGACAAGTGCCACCGATATGTCCCATCTTCACGGAACAGTTCGCTACATGTCACCGGAAATGCTGAAACGTTTTGGTGAACTAGACACACCAGCGCCGGGACGGGCGACGGACATCTGGAGCGTGGGCTGCATTATCCACGATCTGTTCGACTGCTCGGCTGGCATCCTTGTGAGAGTCTTGCGTAAAATTGATTGCAACGATTTCGTCGTACAGGATGCCACGATCCCCGCGACATTTGCTATGAAAATCATGGAGGGCTACAGTCCTGTCGTCGACGAAAATATTCGAACAGAATTCGCTGACGTCATTAAAAACTGCTTGGTTTTGGATAGCAAGGGCAGACCTTCGGCTGACTGCCTCAAGTGTACGCTTCTCGACGTGATCGCTGGGCTGGCAGCTGCGAGCGATACTGACACCGTCGCTGAGATGGACACTGTTCGCCAGTGCGTTTGTGGCAGGCATTTGCCAGTAGAAGTTCCGATGTAGTTATGTTTTCTAACATTTTTCAAAGTGCTTCTACAAAGGATTAGTCAGTCTGGATTCATATATCTTTGTCTGTAGATAATGAGCACAAGGTATTACTGTAGTGTGCTAAACATTCTCGTACATGTTCATTGCTTCAATTTACCTCGTACAAAATCCTTGTACCGACTGTCGGTTCAAGCAAGAGTATGTAACTAAATAACAATTAAGTGGATTTAACTAAGAAAGTTTACTATAGATTTTCTGAAGGAAACTTACTGTTCTGTTTTTCAGCGCTTTTAAACCAGACTTTTTCACTGCAAAAGAATTGATTTAAAATTTTGTTTGATTATTCTTTTCTATTACACGCGTTGTTCAATGTATATTAGGCATCCTTAGTGTTAAGCATTTTTGCATACTTATGATAATCTCTTTAAATGTACTTCGATAAACGGTCCCCGGATGAAATCAGATGCCAGGTTAAGAGTACCTTCCAATGATACTCGTGCATAGTAACATTTGCTACCATGGATGCGATAGGTCTAACATGGGCTGGTCTGTTGCCATGGCCCATGGGCATGGTAAATTTGAACAAGGAAAAGCTTTGCTTCGAACAAACTACCTCTGCGTTCATTGTGTTCCACGGGCTGAGTGAACGCATCACTTCGGCCACTTCACTGGCTACAGTAGGTTAGTAACTCTCACTCACTATAGTTGTAGCTGATGTCATAAAGGATGCCGGCAGGGTTTGGCCATAGTTTTTGCCCGATTTCCGCAATGACATTGGCGACGGAAAAGCTTAGTGGCGAGTAAAAAAGATCTGAAACAGAAACTTTCGTAAAAGCTCTATCATGCTTCTGCAGAGGATTACTGTGCACTGGCAGTGCTCTTTGGCTCTGTACTGGTAATGTGCAATCACAGTGTTTGCTTGCGGGAGTATGTATGCATTGCGAAATTGTTTTTTGCAACCATTATGCTTTTAATGCCTGATGCAATACTTTGGAAATGCGATAGGTTGTCTGATGCAATACGCACCTCGTATACTGTATTTTGTGTTCATCAGCCAGAAGGAAGTTATTCGGCAATGCGTATTCGGTATTCGGAAGTTATTCAGCAATGCGTTTGTGGACAGCAGTTAGCCGAGATGGACTTCGTCCCAAGCTGTTAATGAGCGTCAGCAGCATCACTATAACTACGTACAGTGAATTGCGCGCTACATTTGTACATAAATTGGATGCATGCTATCTGATAAAATTAACGGTATTTACAACTTACCGTGTTATTTCGTCTTATATTCCCCTGGTTTTAATATGACCTCTCTACGTGGACAACCTTTAAGTTTTCAGCCTTTGAAGTTTCACGTGAAATTACCGGGTTCGTGGTACCAAAATAATACATTTGCAGAAACAATGGTTTCATGCAATGCTAGATTTTCAAACAATATACAATGTCGTTCAACAAAAACGGTATGTGTTTTAATTGGCCTGAAAATCGCGTGTGCGGTGTGCCTACCATCAAGTTGTTGCGGTACGAATTGCTGTGCAAAGATCATGAAGTTTGAACTCATTGCCGTGCGCGGTGCACTTACAATATTAGGCAGGTTCATAAAACTGTGTTGTGATATGCAGCGCCACCGATACCTTTATAGTTAAACGTTAAACGAGTACAATATAAAATACACGAGATACGTTGTTCCAACCGTTAAAACATCAAATACACGAAAACAGTTTGTAGTTAAGGACATCGATTATAGACTTCCTGGGTCGCACGATAACGTTATTCCATTACACCCGTACCGGTAGGTATTCGAGAAACGCACGAAGCTCGAACGAAACCGTAGCTGTTCGATACTTGGGTCGGGGGAAACTGAGAATACCGTGTTAGTCGGTTAATATGAAATTTACATTCGAAATACTGACTGCTGTCGACAATCAACTGCGAGGCACCGAAGCCGCTATACCCACAAGGGAATCTTTTTCACCTGATTCATTGTTAACTTGCGCAGCTGCTGTTCTGAGTTGATTAAATAGTCGTACAATCGCTGTAAACTCGCCGTTCTTCCACTGTACCCGAACATGTCGTATCCACTGGTAATACATCTTCGCAATAATGATCGTCAATATTAAAAAAATGCCGGGTAACTGCAGGTGTTCCGGGAGGAGAAACTGCGTCAAAGGCCACGGTAGCAGATACCACATGAGCGGTCCGATCATGTAATGGATCAAAACACGCAAGGCTGCGATCCACGGTGCACAGGCACAGAATGTAATTGCTGGGCTGTAAATAGAGGAGCTGTAAATCCGATTTTCTTGAGGGATGTCAATACAGCAGTCATTGCTTTTATATCTTTTTAGGTATACGTATACAATTTCTGCGTTTTCTTATTACATCCGTGAGTCTGTGTAGTCCGCATGGATTGGAAGTTGGGCTGAAGATCGATCGAACTCGTCAAAGCTTTATTAAAAACGGGAGTGAACAAATCGCTGCAACATAATGTTGCTGCGCTGATAACTGCGCTAGATAACTTTCCTTTGATTGGTTGGCAAGTTTGGCCGAACCTAGGAAGTTGCGTGGCATGGCATATGGCTCGAATACGGAGAGAAGTTCTGATGTTGCGAAAAAACTAAATCTTGGTAAAATTATTTAAACAGAATATACAATATACAGTAGACAACTAAATTTCCTGCTGCCGAGCACACCGAACTTGAACAAAATTTAACGTTTATATTTTTTTCTGTTCCCTACTGCCGGTCGACTGTTATTATTTTTTCAAGCTGTTCTTATTTTAGTTTTTCTAACTTTAAATCGCCAAAGTGTCAAAAGAAAATTCGGGTCTGACATCAGATAAGTGCGCTAACTTTAAATCTGTAGCGAATAGCTTGTTTTACCCACCATTATTAATTTGGCTGAGTTCGATCGACTTTAGGCACACATACACTATGCCAATCCACTCGATATCAGAGTATTTTTGCTACACTACTTTACATGGGTAAACGAGCTTTGCCATGTAAAGTTATCGGCAAAATGTGATTCAGATCTTGCAATTTCCGATTTCGTACCTCGCCCGCGATGGTTGTGGGGTTTCCCAAACGAAAAGGTCAAAAAACATAAAGATGTAACCCACAACGACGCATACCACCAAGATTATCCAGGGGAACAGCGCCAGGTAGAAAAGCGTTCCACCCCAGACCAGAAAAGCGAATCCAAATGTGGGAAAAAAAGGGGACATATCCGGAATAGTTACGTTGGTCGTATTTCCCAAGACATTGCTCACATCCGCCCAATACGAAACCATAGCCACTCCGGGTTTCAGCATCTATACACAAAGTGAAATCATCATCATCGTCATTCGTTATTAGAATTCTCGTTGTACTTAGTGAGTTTGTAAAACAGTCATAATGCGGAAAATATTACGACAGCGCTCACATCGGTGGTCTAAATGTCTGTCAGCCAACTGACGGTAAAATTTTTATTGGACCTAGAGCCTAAAATTTATATTGGAAATTTTTATTGGACCTAAATTTTTATTGGACCTTTTCATCTTTACTGAAAAGAAAATCAAAGACAGCAAGTTTTCTGCGTTATGGACATAGACTGATAAACACTTTTTAGCCAGGATGTGACAACGGTTTAATGCTGCTGAATCAGGAAATTCTGTATTGCATCAATAAATACAATCATTTCTTGGGCTCCTATACAACCCGGTGACTTGGTTTTTACCTGTACAGAGGTCTGTATATCGACTGTGGAATTGACTGGACAGCTGATAGCAGCAGATATCGGGTGTCGCACATAACCAGAAACTTGCGGAAAAGGTTGGTACAGCGGATCGACGTTGAAGAAAACGCCGGTTCCGTACAAGAGTAGTCCAAACCACACTTGTACCGTTCGGAAAACATGTGCCGAGGATTCCTTAATGACCAGCCCGCATGGGTTTGCATGGAGCTTTAATGGAGGCGGGTGGCAACCGCATAACAACCTGCGCAATCAAATATATTACGGTAAAATCAGTCGCTTCAAATAACAATTTTTCTGCCTATTATAAGTTATCATATTAGTATTAATTTGTCATTTTCACGAAGATCATTTTTACCGTAACAATGACTACGATTTCGCTCAACGTTTTTATATAATATTACTCACGCCCACTGTACGGTTCAGCTGTCTACTCACCAACCCCTTTATTTGGTGCGTCACATACTGCTACCGTATTCAATTTCGTGTGTTGAACTTGCATTTTGCGCTGTGACTGTCGAGTTATTTTATTTTTATTTCGAAAGCTCGGCTGTAGTAATCTGATCAAGATTAAGTGTTAGAGCAAAAGAAAGAACTTCACAAAAGCTAGCGTTAACCGATATCAGCAACAGTTCACCGAAGAAAGTGCGTACAGGAAATAAATGATGATCTTTGTTTTTTAGCCCGCACAGCTGACCCGTACAGTGTGCTTGAGCAATTTACGAACAAAATCGAAGTATTAACCAGGATCAATTAGCATGTATGTAGCGTAAATCGTGGATTTAAGCGTTATAAAAGTTGACTGTAGTAACCTGAGTCTGTTCCAAAATGACCACAAATAACTTTCACGCAGCCACAGTCCCGACATTCTTCCGCAGCAGTATATAGTGAGCGCCGTTACAAAAGTCACGCAGCATGGGAAAACAGCTACTTCGCCGCAATACATGACGATGGTTTGTGCGAGAAATCCAGCCACCCATAATATTATCGTCGAGAAAATCCACCAAATAAATGTGACCAGATAGGTTAACGGCCCCGTAACAAGTAGGACGCATACAAATTTCAGCGGTCCACGCAATCGGTACGGGATGTTGTCAATGTTATAATAAGCTGGCCGCTGTTCACGTTGAGAAGCCGAATAATTTTCACTGAAGACGACGATCTCCTCAGTGTTAACTTTGGGTTGTGCTTCGTAGCGATCTTCCGCATCGGGTGCTTCATTGATAACGTATGGTGAATCACTGTGAGCAAAGCCAAAAAACCGGCTGATTGTTGGGCATAATGGAAGGTGGTACGATTCGTAATGGGGGAAACGCCAGTGAAGATTGGCAAAAAGGTGACAGCAAAACCACAGGAAGAGGGTCGCCGTTGTACACAGGATCAAATATGTACCAACGTAAGCAAAGCCTAATTTCTGGATGTTAAGATTTGGTGCATCATCGTAAGACTCTTGTCAATAAGAGATCACGCGGTCCAGAAGCATCCGTCGATATCCTATCGTATGAAAAAGGGTCATATTTAACGGTTGCAATAAAATTAGCTTGATTTCGTTACTAACATACCACAACCTCATACAATTCTCCACAATTAATTTAATACAGTAAATTCCATATTATTGTTGCCATGTACCTAATACAGCAGCTCCGTATACTGTTTTAATTCTTGTGTTTATATACATAGGTTAGAAAAATAGCACTAGAAAACGGAAAAAAGTGGTAACAATTTTTTCGACTTCTAGGTACATTTCTAAACTGGGTTAAATTTTGTTTCCGAGTAAATGATACGAGTAGGAGCATCGTATACCCAGTAATACACCAATCACTCACGTAATCCAAATAATTCAGGACGCTATCGAAACCCGTTGCATTCTTGGGATCGATTCTCGTTGTTCTCCAGTTAGGCAGGATGCGAGAAGCAAAAGTCACCGACAGTTGGCAAGCTACCCAAAGCACCACAAAGGCTTCAACTACGATCTCTTGATAAGCCCAGGACAGATCTCTTTGGAGAAACGATATTAAATTCGCACGGAATTTCTTAATTTCCGCTTTTAGAAGCTACGTACAGTATGTATGCAATTAAAAGAGTTTGTTGCTATAAAAAAATTAATTCAAATTTGCGGAAGTGCAAACCGAGCAGAAGCTCGGTTAATGTGTTCAAAAAATGCGGTCTGGCACAAGATTAGCCGCACAGTGGATAACGCACCATGAGTTTCTTGATGTTGGATTCAAGTTGAAAAATTGCACGGTATACGATCGATTTTCAGCTCAGAAATCCGCTCTCCACTATGTGCTCCTCCGACCGGACTGGTTTGTACATCTCTCTCGTTTCCAGTGCTATGTACGTTACCATGTACCATAAGTTCGTCCATTTGTCATGTACCTCAATAACGCTCTATGGGAAATTCTGTGTAACTAGCCGCTCACTCCCGTACGTTCGTTTTCTCCATAAAACTCGTACAAGGGTGTACGACGACTGACAGTTTGACACAAACCGAGAGGATTAAGTACTGTATTGATTTTGACTGTGTACTGCTGCAGATGATCCGCCTTACTGCCGACTAGGATTATTGCGGAACGTACGGAAGATGTGTTAGCCTGCTCGATTACTCCTGCCGCCTATAATACAACAATCATGCATAATAATAAATAACACATGTAAAGCTATTTTTGTGCATAAGCTCGAGTGCGTTTTTGTAATTTGTAAATACTCCCATAGATATTGTTGAACAGAATAAATGGCACTTTTCTTCTGAAGTCTCATGTGCAGTAAACTGTATTTTATTGATAAACACACCGCCTAAATGATGGACCTGTACCTGCGGACCTGCGGTTGTTCAACGCATATTCAGAATAATTTGGTCGTGCACAACTGACTATGACTATTTTACGAAACATTTGACGGAAACGTTAAATGGTTTTCTTTTAGACTTAGGATAAATTTCCCGGGTATTTTTTAAATTGCTTGGAGGTCTTAGGTTTCAGGTTATCCAAAACCGACATAAAACCGAGCAAGCCGACGCAAGTCAGCGCTGCCAAATTTTACATCTTCAGAAATTCGCTAAAATTTAATATTTTCGCTAAATATTTTTAGATTCGTGCACACACAAAGATTTCCATGTGCGAACATGCTACTGGTTCGCCACTAACAAGTTTGTAAAAACTTAATTGGGTTGCGATGGCTTCAGGACAAGGTACAGTACGCGTGGCTCACTGGCCACGCTAGTGCTGGACCAGCAATGAAAAGCTATGACTATCGCAATGCTCGCAAAACTGAAAAAATTACAGCAAAAGCCTACAGTGCACTGCATTTAAATGGTATATAAAGCTACGTGCTCATATCATCTTTGTTTAATCAAGACTTCTAACCTTTGCAGATGACAGTAATTTTTAACGTATTACTCTGTAGGGTCGTATTAGTGCCTGTTCGTTGCCTGCTCGAAAATCGAGATAACCGGCGACAGTGAATCTACAGTCTGTACTTGCCTAACCATTATTAACTTGCAGGATATTTTTGCTGTAAATTTCATTCCACTAATTTACAAAATTAAATGGGTTTCCTTCGTCCTAAAGCCTAATATGAGTTGAGTTTGAAAAGCTGGCTTACAACCATCATGTATTTTAGTTCCTTATTACGGTCACTATAACTCGAATTTTTTTTAAAATGATGTAGGAAATTCATAATGTCACGCGCTGTGAGTCGTGTGACTACTGGGCGGAACCTTGCAACATACACCAAACACCGCCTCGATTGCAGTGCATACGCTAAATACGCTCGTACAGATATGTAAAACAATTATACTCGCATTGTATTACGAACGGCGATAATCTTGCACGAACAGGAAAGCTTGTTAAATGCACATGCACAGTAATAAGTATAGCCAAAAATACGAATAGTATTATAGGCAGACAACGTAGTCGATCAAAGTGCATTCCTGATACTGTACTTCTTACAACAAGGAAAGTCTGCGACGCCAGACGGCATAACGACGGCTTGGTATTCAGTCCAAAGTAGGCTCCATTGAATTGCTCATACATACTCTATCACAATCGCAAAACCAGTTTTCTTGCTATCGATCGCTACGGCAGCACTTAAGCAACTTTAAATTCAAACAGCTGATCATGAGCAGCGCTGTCGATGCAATGTTTGCAGCATTATATCGCTAATATTGTACATTGCATAAGTGCTCGTATTTGTACTGGTTTCAAGGCAGCTGTGGCTGCTTTATCTTGCAAACAAATTATTGTGCCATTTTGCAATGACGGTGTATATAATGCTGAACAGTTTACTTGGATTGCGACTGTAGAAGCGGCTTACAGTTTTAACGAAAATGCTTGCGTGGATTCTGGGAATTTTGAGCGCAGCTCTGGCGTATTTCGTATAGTAAGTCATACAAGCGTTATCAATCACACTTACGAAGAAGCCACTGTTGTGAGTAAAACTGCTTGTTTGAAGTGACGCTATATGGAAAAACGAGTTTTGGCGTCGAAAAGGAATCCCCAGTCCCTTGTATTATCCCCTGGTTGGACGATTCGTGGAGTTTGCTCTGGTATATCAAGGGAACTCTTGTTTTGAAAGCTGAAACGGAAGTTATTTATTTGACAGATAGGACAAGCCAAATTCGACCAAAAATGGACTGCAAAGCTGGGCAAAGTTTTTGGGTAAATGTCAAATGAAAGCGACTGAATCACTGGTGAACTGATTCGTCTTACGTTTCTGCTTATTATTCTCAGCGTATTCGAAGGCGCCCAACCGGTACTCGTTGTATCCGATCCAGGTACGACGCTGTTGCTGACTACTGTTTCCGACATGATGCGCTGATTATTCATTGCGTTGCCTTGCAGATATTATGAAAGTTGTGCAAGTGAAGGACTTCTCCCACTTTGTTAACCGTCGCGAAATCGAAGGCATCCAGGGTCCGCTACTGGATCAGTCTGTTACCAGCCTTAAAGATCAACGCTGGAAGGTAATTTCAACATTTACATATATGTATCATAACAAATTAATTTTCCACACATCAAATACTACACCATACTTATGCCTTGTTGTTATTTAGGACGTCAGGAGCGTGTTGGTGCCCACATTTACATCCGGCAAATTGCGACAGGTACAGAAGATTACTCGAACACACAGCTTGGTATAAAGCACACATGGTTGTGTAAACAGATGAATCCTTTAATCAACGAATCTTGCCAAACACTGGTAAAAAACATGGAATCCTTAGCGGAGACCAGCGCTGATTTCGAAGCTAAGGAGTAAGTTCGCCTCAACACCAACAACCACTACCATTGCGGCATTTCATAGTCTTTTAGGTTGTTCGGCCGTGTCTCCATGGATGTCATCGCCTCCACGTTTTTTGGCACAAAGATCGACTCCCAAAACGACGTCAACAACGAGTTCGTTCAGCATGCCAAAAATGCCTTCGACTTCAATTTCGCCAATCCGATCTTCCTGGTCGTGTGTGAGTACGGAGTGCGGACAATTGCAGGTTACAGCGATAAATTTTGACCTCAGTATTTTAACAGTGCTTTTTCCCAAACTCGTGCCATACATGGTCAAGATGGGCATCGATTTCCTGGTGGACAGGAAAGTCATCGCCTTCTTCGTGCGTAACACGGAGGAAATCATTAAACTGCGTACAGACCAGGTACCTAGGCAAAGAACACTCCTCATTCCATAAAACAGCGCTTAATTTAGCAGGTTTTGTGTAATGTAGAATCAATCGCGGAAAGATTTCCTGCAGTTAATGCTCAACTCGCTCAAAAGTTATAACGGCTCTGTCAAAGCTGCAAAAGATGACACCGAAACCGTTGTTCGAGATGAAACAAACGATCAAACAGATATCTTGTCCGATGTGGTCTCCAACGCGGCTGAATCGACATATAGTTCTAATTACAAAATGACTACCGAGGTATTTCTCCATTACTAAACGTTTATTTCGCCGTTTTGCTTATGGTTTTTTTCTCAAACCGCTACTAAAGTATTATGTCATTACTACTGCGGTAGTGTCTACACAAAAAAAGCACGCTCTTTAGGAGCTGGTAGCTCAGTCGGTAACCTTTTTCCTCGGCGGCTACGACACAACAGCCGGCACACTGGCCTTCTTAACCTACTGTCTGGCCATCCATCCCGACATTCAAGAGCGGCTGCGCGAGGAAATCGACACAGTAATGGGCGACCGGGAGGTGGCTACGTATGAAGTGCTGGCCGGAATGGAATACCTCGACTGTTGCATCAACGAAACGCTGCGAATGTATCCGCCCTTGGTGCGGGCCGAGCGCATGTGCAACGAGCAGTGGACGTATGAAGGGATGACCATCGACAAGGACACGCTGGTGGTGATTCCGGTCTATGCTATCCATCATGATGCGGATTACTGGCCGGATCCCGAAAAATTTGATCCGGAACGGTAGCTAAAAACTATGATAGCTTTTTGTAGATCGCTCGCTACAGAAGTCGATTTGTTGAGTCGGGCGGTATCTTACATAAACGTTTCATAGGTTTTCCCGTGAAAACAAGCACAAGGTTATTCCTTACACATTTCAAGCGTTTGGTCAAGGACCTAGGAATTGCGTTGGAATGCGTGAGTAACGCGAGAGTCGTTATAACATCCGAAGAGCGTTTAGAAGCCACTTTTTGTGCATTCCACAGGTTTCGCGTATTATGAAATTAAACTGGTGATGGTTTCGGTTCTAAGGAAATACCGATTTCTTCCCAGCTCGAAAACCGAGGTACGAACAACACGGAATTCCTTCCCGTGTTCGCAAATCAAAACTAATTTGGCTACATTGTTTCAGATTCCTCTGCAACTCACAGCTATGAGCTTCTTACGCGCTAAAAACGGCATCTGGGTCAAACTGGAGAAAATCTAAAAATACTGTATTGAGTTCAAAATGTTTTCGGAATTTGCGGAAGAAGTTGCTGCACAGTGTTTATCAAAACTTGCATGTTTTGCAAGATAAATTAGTTGCAGTAAATTTGCTAACCGCGGAATTACTAATCAGTGCACATATATTTCGGTATGTGGTGGCATTTTCTGAAGTTGCAGGAATTTTTTCTCTGTGTTGAGGGTTTGATGGGTAACGGTGCATTGAAAACTAACGCAGTACCATAATTAATACTAAAGTAAATACGTATACTAGTACTAAAATTATTAGACTGTCATGTTTAGCGTACTGAATGTTATGGTATTACGGTAGCGGTAGTATTATAATTATGTAAGTACCTAAGTACGTTATTTCAAACCATGCCTGTCACAGGCTGTGGGCTCATCACCATAAATTTAACTGTTCGACACATCCGTTTTGTAGTCGCTGCCTGTTACAGCTTCCCTCCTATCGGAGAGGATAGAACATCTGAAGCAAATTTCCAAATTTTTTGGCGGTAGTCACAAATTTTAATCGCAATCTCTGCCGTTACAAGAAATGATGAAGCGCTCGGGTACGGCTGAACACGCCTGAATGGATTTTGCGTATTGAAGAGACACCTTTTCGCTAACCACCGGCGCGTAACCATTCCTGATTTTACTGGAAAAGAGCGCATTTCCTGCATGATGAGGCTCCTGAAAATCGAAATTAGCCTTAACTGGTTTCGCATTTTTGCGGAATACTCGCAGGGTCAAAATACGAGTACTCTTCAGTCGAATATCGTGCCGTAATATTACTAAACTAAAAGGTATCTAATCGACTACGATGACGTCACGATGGAGAGACGCACTGTGCGACGCATGGGTAACCCCTGCGGGTTTTGTGTTTATCAAAACTTTCAAATTCATTTAATTCGTTTGTAGTAGGGCTCAACAAATGCAGCAAAAAATTCTGAGTGGGAAAAATAAAAGTTCGTAAGTGATCTTTTGCCAAAGACCTCCATGCTAAGCAAAAATCTACGAAAGTCTTAGATTTTTGGTTTTCGATCAAACGAAACGGCCAAAACCTGATCAGTCAATCAAAATAGAACAGATTAAATTTTATCGATCGACCAAAGGCATCAGAACTTTTGATTTCGACTCAAAACAAGTGATTTTTGCTTAGCATACTAAGCATAGAGGTCTATGGCAAGCTGCCTCGTAGACCTTGGCAATCAAGAATTACGTAAATCGATAAAGTTTCATATTCCTGACAACATTTTGCTTACCAAATTTCACTTTACATACTTCAAATTTTCTCCCGCATTTTTTGAGCCATAGTACGAGCGGAATCTGAAAGTTTTGATAAACACAAAACCCGCACGGGCTGCCCACGCGTCACACAGTGCGTCTCCTCCACCGTGACGTCATCGTACAAAGTGCAAGCTCGATTAAATACCTCAGTATTTAGTAATATTATGATCGTGCATAAAAGAGCCAAAATTCCAGATATCGGTGGCCCGTTCCGGCGCTGACGTTTCCAGCTCACCGAAGCGCCTCATCGTTTTGGGTAACATGCTGAAGACGGTGCCCCGCAAACTCATCCCATCGGCGCTTGGCGGTACGGGTGGTGTCGTGCAACAGCTGAATAAAATTATCTTGGCACCCGATTAATACTGTGTAACGGCGCCTAGGGTGAATTTTTAAAAAGTATATTCCCTAGCTTCGGATCTTCGTGTATTATTTGCTGATTGCAGAGTTATCGGCAATATGTCGCGGACAGCACAGTGAGCGCGTCCTTTCTAAGGTCGAGGTGTTTCCTTTTATCCTTGACAGTTTCAAATCCAAATCGCAAGAAACAATGTTTTTTTTCGGTGTTCGTAGTTAATTTTCGATATACCTATACCGTTCGACGCGTCAAACTTAGCTTCCAAAGCGCAAGAAAAATGAATTGGTACTGTTTGGATATGCCGTGGGACCTGGGTTATTTGCATTTGTCGGCATTTTGGTTACGTGTATTCCCAGATTTGTGCAACATGCTTTATGTACTGTAGCAAGTGCCTGCCCCTGGCCGGACGTCGCACACGTTACGAGAATATCGCGCAAGAATATGCGTCATTTTCCGTGTATCTGTACTCTGTGGTGCAAGTTCGTTTAGCGGCTACAGTAATTTGTATGAGGTAGGCCACTATGTTATAGACGGAAACGTACATTGGTTGAAAAGCCGCTAGCGCGCACGTAATCCGGCTGCTGAGATAAAAACGAATTAAATTGGAAAAAAAGTTGAACGTATTGTCATGCTTCAAAGGAAAGTATACATATATTCGAGAAGTTGAACTTTCTAAATATTTTTAATGCCCTCGGTACGATTACATACGGCTCGTATAAATTATGTGGTAAACCTTCGTATAATGCGAGTAGAATGTTAGCATCCACAAATTAAAACATGCCTCGGCAAAAAATCACTCAGTACATCGAAATTATTGTAGTTTGGAATGGGAGAACCTCATACATATATTTTTGGGCATGCACGGATGTTATTCCATAAAGCTAATAGAAATCAAGCGTGTTAAAGATTGCTGTACTAGCTGTAATTGTCCGTTAATACTTACGGTAATACTGATTTGGTGGCATTTCCGTGTTATTAATGATGAAATGAACATCACTAACACGACCAAAATATGGAGAAATATTGACCAGCCCCCTGCTTCCACCCAATCAACTGCGAGGCACCAGGGCTTCTCTGTGGTGTGGCCTCTGGCAAACTTGTGCATCTCTTCCTTTCGGTTGATAGAATCGGCGTAAAAGCGGTCTGAAATCTCCATTTTTCCATTGTAGCCTCACATGGAGAATCCATTCGTAATACATCCGTGAAACAATGACCGTCGATATCAGCAAAATGCCGGGCAGCTGCAGGTATTCTGGAAGGAAAAACCGCGTGATAGGCCACGGGAGCAGGTACCACATCAGCGGTCTGGCCAAGAGCAGAATAATAACACGACCAGCTCCCATCGGGTTAGCGCAGGCACATGGTATGCAAAGTAATCTGTAAGTTGACAAACCGCTTACGTTATGTTCAAGGATTTCTGTATGTTCAGCGTTGCAATATGGTATTTTCATAGGGGACTAGTATAGCCTAGTTATTAATAGATAGTATTCAAAGTTGGGTTTTGCGGTTTTTGGTATCATACCTCCCTCGTGACGGCATTAAACAATCCAGAGCGCCAGAGAAGAGAACAACGAAAAACCCGACTTCGCCCACTACTAAAAGCAAGAACGGGAACGCCGCCAGATAGAAAAGCGTTCCACTCCAGACAAGAAAAGCGATTTCCATTGTCGGCATAATAACCGATAGGTCAGATAAAATGGTGACATTAGTCGTATTTCCCAGGATACTACCCACATCCGCCTAATACGAAACCATAGCCACAGCCGGCTTCAGCACCTACGTACGTATACAGTATGACCGGAGGCCATCATAGTCATTATTATTCTCGTTGTGCGTACGTATATTTTGACGTACCATTAATGAATAGAAAGAATCAACTAATGTGAATTTACTGGGTATTAGAATGTTGTTGTAAAACTGCTACTCGTAGTACAGGTAGCTGGAATCAAATTTATCCATCTTGAGAAAATTTATGCGCAGCACTCGCATGGAAGAACTTCAGTAAATTACGTACTTACCTGGATGTCAAGTGAGGAATTGGCAGCGCAGCTTATAACAGCAGAAACAGGATGGCTGACATAACCAGACACTTGTGGAAAGGGTTGAATGTACAAGCCCATCCAACAATTCTTTGACCGCTGTAAGCGGGAATTTAAAGAAACGTGGGCTTGAGCCATTTACTGTGCTTCGACACATCACGCCACATGAGTCTGCGTATTCAACGTAAATAAGCAACAAATCTGCCAGGATCTTTACAAATCTATTCCAGTGCGATATGAGAAGGTCTTCCACGCAGGTGGCGCTCGAATTGAGTACTGATATTTTGTTCCATATTTCGTTTCATGAATGGTAGTTCATAAACTGATCTGTTTCTTTTGTAGCTACTGGTAATTTAACTATGATAGTTCTAACTGCGATCTGTTTGGTTTTGTTGATTAACCTGATAATTTTAACTGTGATGATGCTTTATCGGTGATTAATTGTGATCTGATATATTATTGTTGGTTGAATATTTATAAATATATCTGCCACTACACTACGATGCGTAATTGCATTACTGTGCGCGATTTATATGCGCTGCGCTTACAGCGGTCAAAGAATTGTTGGATGGGCTTGTACAACGAATCCACGTTGAAGAAGACACCCGTACAGTACGAAAGTAGTCCAAGCCAAACTTCCAAGGTTCGTAAAAGATCTGTCCCGGATTCATCGCTGTCACTTTCGCAAGAAGTTGCATCGGACTTTTCTGGATCAGTTGGATGTGGTTGGCATCCGTATAACCACCTGTGCAATCAACTCAAGTTTAATATAATTTTTTGTACTGGTTGTAGGCTATTGTTACAGCAATTTCTACTGCTTTAGCTTACAGTGGTCAATGGAAATGTGCAGTTGCCCTGTGAACCGGTGCGCTCCGGGCAACGCACGAAACACGTAAACTCTTGATGCGTTAACGAAAAAAACATTAAACAATTAATTACAAGACAAGGTAGTTTAAATGCCAAAGCAGAGTGATTAAACTGAATTCAACACTAAACTAAAGCAATTGAAACAGGAGCTGAGACATTCACGTTTAATGAATGAATGCTTAATTCTTGGTACGGTAAAGGTCAAAAAATCAGTGTTAGGCGATTCTTCGAATGTTTGCGTTCTCGTTCGAAATACATAAAATTTTTGTTGACTTTTGCAAATGTCTAACGGGTAACTGGAGCGATTCAACGTCGAAGCACAGTGTTAAACGCTATAAAAGTAAGCTGAAAACTTATCGAAGGTTCTTGTTAACGCATCAAATCGTTTACTTGTTTACGCTCGGTTACGTCACGTGGTTTAGGCGACTGCTTCATGCGCGCCGCATAAAGGCTGCACAGAGACAGAGAAGTTGCCCCTCCCAATTTTTCTTGCAGCTAGGTATCTTTATTACAAGTAAAGTGTCATTTGCACGCAGAAATCCTACGTAGACTATCAACAAAGCCGACCGTGAATAACCATACGATAACGATATCGTATTCGTGAACAACGAGACGATAACGATTGTGCATTTCGACGCTAAAAAAGTTGAGCGTTTTACCTGATTTTGTTCCACAGAGCCCACAGATAACTTTCACACATCCACAATCCCGATATTCTTCCGCAGCAGTACATGGAGCACACGGTTATAAAGATCACACAGCAGGGGAAAATTGCTACTTCGCCGTAATGCATTGCGATAGTTCGTGCGACTAATCCGACCAACCATAACAATATCGTCGAAAAAAACAGCCAAATGATGATGGCCAGATAGAATAACGGTCCCGCAGCAATTAGCATGCATACAAGTTTCAGCGGTCCTTGCAATCGGTGTGGGATACTTTTGATGGTGAACAACGCCGGGCGCTGTTCGATTTGTGGTACCGAAGGACTTTCACTTGGAAGGACAACTTTCACGGTGGCAACCCAGGCGTCTGCAACACAGCGACCCTCCGACTCGGATACTTCATTGATAACGCACGGGGAATCGTTGTAGGCAAAGTCGAAGAACCGGCTGATTGCTGGACAAAATGGTAAGTGGTACGATTCATACAGGGCTAAACACCAGTGGCGGTTGGCAAAAAGGTAGCAACAGAACCACAGGCAGAGCGTTGCGGTGCTGCAGAGGATCAGGCATGTACCGACGAAACCGAAGCGTATATTCAGGATGCTGGGATTTTGCGTATCTTCGTAAACTTCTTGCCAGTAAGAGGCCACGCGGTCCCAGAAACATCCATTCACATTCTATTGTAAGACATCGAATAATGATATTTAACAGTACTGCAATGAATAAGCAGCGTTAGGGTAATTTACCCGGTTCAAGGTATCAGTTTTGTTTACATCCACTAAAACATTCACTTTTTGTTCACTATGAAACACGGTTTCGCATTGTTTATGTCATTTTACGTACACTTTATCCAGTCGTTTCACATTTGTACACATTTAACGGGTAACGTTCTTGCCCGCAACAATCTCTTGCTGAAATACGAGGATGACAAATTAAAATACTGTAGACAAAATTTTTAAATGTATTTTCTTGCATAGGGATTTATTTTCAGTTTTTCTGAAACTGTGCTATAAAAAGGTGGACTGATTTAGTTCCAACTAAAACTTTTCCTAAAACAGCAAAAAAAATTCAAAAATTTTCTTTTTATTCATGTTAGATTTCAAAAAATTTCAAATGTTTGTCCATTTCAATTGTCCATATTGCAACAGCTTTATGTTGCGCCCACAAGCGGTTTTTCTGGTCATAGTTACAAATTACCTGACTGTAAAATGACTACAATGTAATGGCATATAAAAGCTGTGTTATCATACACCGCAGTGCTTGGTTAACTTAAATATCACGCAAGCCTTGTATGTCCAGTAACATTCCAGTACTCACGTATTCTAGATAATTGAGAACGCTGTCGAAATCCGTTCTTTTCCGTGGATCGGCTCTGGTTGGTCTCCAATTAGGTAGAATGCGCGTAGCAAAAGTCACGGACAGTTGGCAAGCTACCCAAAGTACCACAAAAGCCTCGACAACGATCTCTTGGTATGCCCAGGTTAGGTCTCTCTGGAGTAGAGATATCAAATTCACACGGGATTTTCTCATTTCTGCAAATTTTTAAGGAATGATTCTAAGACAAACTTTTATCAGTCTGATAGCTCCCGACTGTGGGAACAAAAAATGGCAGCTTTCATAATGCACTTTCATAATGTAGTACATATAATATTATATAAAGAATATGAGTTAGGTTAAGTGAATAAATTACTCGACTGCTGTATGTTGTCCACGTGGAAAAGTTCCGCCAGGCCCGATCGATCTTGCAGCCTCAAGATCCGCTCTCTTCCCATGTGCTCCTAAGACCGGAACCGAGGTGGGATATTCATCTCGCTGCCGTTCGCAGTGTAACGTTGCTTTAACTATCAGCTTTACTTTGTACTTATATATCGATCTGCAGAACGATTGAAAATGCGTTTTAGCGGCTGACTCCCGTACGAGCGGACCTGTCAGACGTACGGATTGATTCTCTGTCAGTCAATAGAACAGCGCTCTTACTTCTGATTGCAGACAGTGTGCATTGTTTGTTGTGCTGTGCATTGTTGCATTGTTTCTGAATACTTAAATCGAGAATATTTTGTATATTCGTTTATTTTGATGAGTTAAGCATGTGTTTAGGTTTGCATGGTTACGTAATTGCGGATGATTATAATGCTTATTTACTACTGTGTTTGTCTAATAAGCTACCTATCAATGAATAAGCGAACTGTGGGCACCGGCACTCATTAGCGCTAGCGGTATGCGCGTCGCTTACAGGTTGAAATTTGTTTATGCGTATAATTTTTGTTACCCCCATAAAACTAGATTTGGTCGTGGTGATTGTTTACATAAGAATTCAAGTTATTCGGCTGCTATGAAAAGTAGAATCACTGAAAAGCAGTAAGTATATCTTTTCACTATGATTATGAAACAATTATTGTGGTTAGTTGACAACCAATGACACGCGTCAATGATTTGGTGTCATCCTACAACCGGGCTGGACTAACCTTCTTTCTATCTTTCTGGTTGTAGAGAAACTGATAATGTGGGCATGTTTCACTCAACTGGTCCTGTTTGTCGGCGACGGTTCAACCACGGCGGAATCGGCAATTTTATTGTGTGTAACTACCGCTGGTAAAGAAGTATACAATATACAGGGTTCTTGCCAATGCGGTAATTATCTTGAAACGGTTCATCGATGCATTTGATGTCTACAAAGCCCGCATCACTTTATTTACGCAGCGTTTACAAATCCGCAGAATGCTGTGAAGGACTACAGTCGCCATGGAGTAAGCAACAGATTTACCTAAGACGGCCGGAAAAGCCAGCAGCCAGTAAAGGCCACAGTCAAACGCCGGTGGAATTTCGTATGATCACAACGAAGTTCTTTCTTCCATAAAAATTCTCGCCGGAAGGCCGGCGAAATTTCTTGTGGAAGAAAGAACTAACTCTGGCGGGTGGTGAAATTAATACGGCTTGAAGTCGCCCATTTCGATAAATTTCACTATGTCCGTGGTAATTCCAGCAGCCTAAGAGGCGGATACGCGCAACCCTACGTATGGCAAGGATATCAATGCAGATAATAAATTCGCTAATACCGGTAAACGAAATTTATGAAATATCTAATACGATAAAATTGTACTGCATGTTATAAATAACGAGTAACTACATAATGGATGTAGAGTGTCAACATCTTTCCCGTATTGTTCGATGAATAAAAAACGTTCGTTTACGCATTAAAAATTTAGATCTGGAGTTCACAGCTAGGCCTGAGTATGAAGCCATGTACCCGGTCAATTCCCTTAAATGTAAAACTTAAATCTGAAAAAAACTAAAATCAATACCCTGGCAGATCTCGTACAGCATTTACGTGCCGTTTTTTTTAGTCACGATGTAACTGCCAAAGCGTAACATTGAAAGACTGACTATTCTTACAAGGTTAGAAAGGCTACTGATTGCATCTCTACGGTAGTCCATTTATATAAACAAAAACCGGGGTAAATACATACGGTACAACATCCTCTTAACAACAGAGGACTGCTAGACTGGAATCTTGTTCAAGCATTGCACCTCTAGATGGTTGCATCGGCTGCATTACATTACATAGCCAAATCGGCTGCATAACATCACAGTTACGGTACAAATATCAAGAACAAACGTTAGCAATTCGAAATTGTATTCGACTTCCATGCGCAGAAGATAATGCCTATAGGTTTATTAATTTTTTCCATAAAGGCGGAAATGGTTGTTTGTTATTGGTGTATGATTGTTAAATGCCGCGCACGCCAGTTGAGAGCTTCATAAAGTTCATCTCCAGTAGTGCAGAGCATGATTGTACATGCCGCTGCTCACGGTATTTTTAAGTTATGTGCCACCGAAGTATTGAAATATCAAAGAGACGAAAAATTCCAGGTGGCTTGGAAGATCATTCAACCCGAGACCCTCACCGATTTCCCCAGCCGATAACGCATGAAGACGATCCTGCTTATTTGACAGAATTAAAAATGGAGAATTCTAAAGTTCGTCTGCAGTGACCTAATATGTTGCAAGATCTTTACCGTTCAACAAATATGGCCGCATCGGCATTTGCCCCGTTTACTAAATACTATAAGTGTGGTGAGATTGTATACGACTAATACGAGTACAGGTGTATGTAAAGAACGGTAATTGAGCTAGACGTTTCATCGATATCAAATAGATTTATCTCCGTCATATTACAATAATTTTGGATGAGAATTATCAGATATTTGCGTTTAAGACATACCAACACCAGTGTGTGGTTCTTCTTGGGCTTTGCTCATTCGCTGTCGATCGTTAGATTCCACCACGTAAATAACCGCTTTTGCACCTTGGAAGAAATGATGCTATAAAGAGCGCACCCGAAATCATGTTCGGAAATGACAATCTAACCAATCCCTCTGTCAACTGCAAGAAAGGTTACCGAGTCAAATGGACAGTAACATGTACGCGCACACTGTGTGTGTATAATTACATTATTTCTGTTTTCATGAAATGTTTTAATCGTTTCGGTATTAAAATCGGTATGATATTGACGGCTTATGTAGTAACTCCTGCGCCAACGACTATCACTGGAGATTCAGCGCGGAAATGCTGCATCCATCCTTGGTACGATGGATGAAGTGGATAGTTTGAATGAAGTTTTGCTGTTGTAAATTGTATCGCGTGTTCCCTTTCTTTCCAGAAATGTGTGTTGGTAACATAAAAGTTATGTCAAATTATGCGATCGATGAGTAAACCTGAATATTCCTAGCTGTAAAAAACTTTAACTGTCATGCGAGTTCACACAAACTGCCGTACTGGCGTACCCCGCCTGGCCACAGATATACCGCACAGTAAAAGTGAGATTCTTATAAGAAACTGTTTCCACATCGAATCCTACAAAAATTGGTTGTATGGACAGCAATTATAATGGTCGCCGGTCTTTCAAAAGGTTTATTATGTACTTATTAAAGGTAAGTAGAAGAAAACTATGAGTGTAAGCTGTGTAAACCCCTCAAGTCAAACCAGTAAAGTGTACAGTACAGCTTTTGATTTCACTCAATGTATCATTACCCTTGCATGATTACTTCAGAAAACAAAATGCCCAATGTCGCATATCCCACGCTATTTACTGTTACGAAAAACTTTCTTGATGTCGTGCACCAAGGCAATGGTACGTGTGAGCATGTCCCGTCTTTCCATGGCCTGCTTAGAAAACTCCCCATACAGAGTCACGAAGATATCGGCGGATTCGTGGGAGTAATTGAGAATAACCGGACAAGCCGTGTCCAACATCGCCTGCAGTTGCTCCTTTTCCGCTGCCGGCACCTGACCAGCCCGCTGGACCACAAGTTTCTTGAGAGCAATAGCCGCCGACATTCCGGCCAGCGACAGAACAATAGCGCGAGAGACTTCGTATTTCGGGTAAATATTTCTGCAAAAAAACTTTTTGATTAAATCCTTTAACAAGGTTTGTTCAAAGTACAAGAGATTTGCGAAACCACATTGACACACATCGAAACACATTCATACGTGCTTTAATGGCCTATTTTCGTAAATTCCGATAAATACAGCGTTCTAATTATTCGGGAGTACTAACGGCAACACGCCAAATTTTATTAAACAGAATGAACACATGCCGAATTACCGTGCACAAACGATGAACTCCTGCATCATTTTCCAGCCCTCTTCAAAGCGATTGTCATCGTACAGCGTCCTTGGTAATCCCCAGCCGCACACGTAACGGATATGCGCATCCGGCTGCAGAATGTCGACCGCGTCCATCTCCTTGCATAGATCCATCATCATGGGCACGTGGAGTTCTTTCCGAAAGCGAATCTTCACGTTCTCATGCTGCTGCAAGAAACGACGGAAGCGCACCAACCGTTCCTTGTTCAGCGCACCGCACTCCGAACAGGGCTGCAGAGCACGGTCGTCGCTGGGAATTCGATTCGGACAGCCCATGTTCACGCATTTCAGTGGATTGATGTCGGCATCCTGCAACAAAAACGAAATCTTCAAACAATGATGTCAACTTAGAACAAATTCAGTACACCTTTTTACATCATTTAGCTTATACTGGTCATCTAAAATTGGTAGTTTATTTGCTTCAACGTGCATTACTAATTTTAGAATGTGTACATGTTATGTAGGTTATTTATTTATTTTTGCATTCGTTTACTCATTTCAGTTTAATAAAAATTTTTTGAATTACTGACGCGCTGAGACGAACTTCACGTACGTATTGCGGAGAGCATTTGCGGCATGTGCAGGGATATCCGTGCAGTTTTTCGAACTCCGCACGACGCTCGGCTCGTGTCATATAGAACGGTTCCGGCATGATATTGTATCTCAGCTGCAAAAGAATGCACTTTCCATAACTGCAAAAGAACTGAGCCACTTCTGTGTTAACGTCAAGCCTAGCCAGTGAAAAGGCTACAGACGGTGGACAGTTAGTTGAAGGTTTGATGTTGCGAGAAATTTCACCGACATCTTTCTGTCCGGTGTAGTTGCTGATATCCTCCACAGCGTGTATGGTCAAACGTCGTCCTCGAAAAGTCAGCACGACATTTGTATCCCAGCACACCGGTGTCATAAGACGAGGTGACGCGAGTGGATAAACCGCTGTACCAATGCGTGCCACACCGTTCAGCGTATCCTCGATGGGCATAGCGTTGTAGGCGATATTCGCAGAAAAGGTGACCATGTCGGCAAGGAAAACCCCAGCTTGGGATCCGTGATCTTCGACAAGGAACTGAGAACAGACATACATGTATAAATATTAATTATTCAGTTTATTAGAATTCATGGGACAAAACAGATGGCACTGTATTTCGAGCAAACGAAGATGTCCGGTGTTGCCTGCCGGTGCAGTAGATGTTCTAACAATTTTGCAACACGTTGTTGGAGTACTACAGATACAATCGCGCGCCGCGGTCAGCAAGAATGAGGAACATCCCAGTAACTAGAATAACGTATTCATAACAAACTTACAGCTGTTCTTTCTTATTAAGTCGCGCTAATTTTGGATTGGACGGCAGCATGTTCCACAGTTCCTTGGCGGTTTTGAGACCGAACCCCGGAATATCCACCATAACGCCCAGCTGGAAGAAACAGAGCTCGTCAAGCATGGCAAAAACATGTGTTAAGCGCCACAAAGCCGAAGTCTGCCTTTGGGGAAATAGGCCCCGTACTTTCAAAGCTACAGTCGAAAATCGAGAAGATGGAGGAGAATCAAGGAACGTTTTGATACCGGCAAATAACTTTAAATATTTATTTTAAGATTTCTGGAAAACGTTATAACCACGGTTGTGGTGCACATCTGGCCACGCACTACTGTCATACAGTTTTTAGTGCGAGTTTCAAGAGGATTGAACCATAATCTGAAATTTGCTCTCATAAAGTGTTCAGGCTTTTAATCTCTCAACAACCGGATATTGCGCGCACAGAGGTTTTCAAACCAACGTGTAAAACAGAAACCATATGATCATAAGGCACCTTGAATTTATTGATCAACTTGGCGATGAGATCACGAGGAACGTCCAGGCTGCTGTACTTTGTGCTGCTGCTCGAGGCCGATGGTCCGCGATCGGTCTCCAAGGAGCCATCCGACTGATTGGTTTGCTTCAGCAGGCTGCATTCCAGCTTATGCTCCCACTTCCAGTCGTCAGACTAGTCAGTCAAAAGGCTGTCAAGTCGTAATGTCACCTACTATGATTTAATTGGTCTTCTGTTAGTGCTTTTACTGCAGCAATGCGCAGTACTTGCCTTTTCAGACAACTAAGTACTATACAGCATGATGAATGATGCAGTTCAGTGTCTGCACTTGTCCCAAAACATTCGTACAATCGTCAAAACTATTTTCTATCAGTTATTCTTTGAGAATTAAGACAGTTACTAGAGTGTTTTTCTTTTACGATAGTTTTGCGGAATGACGGAGTATGTCATTCCGCAAAACTGGTGTTTGCCCGTGACTGGATCGTAAACTAGAAAACCTTCCAAATTTTAGAGAGTCATACCTGGCAAGTCACGTTACAGTAGCGGTGCAGCTTGCATCCCGAACATGTTCGCAGTTCCTGACTTTCCCGCAGGCAGGAGGCACAACGCGTTTTGTAGGCACTACTCGTCAGTACCCAGATCAAAGGATCGTAGCATGCCACAAGATCGCCTGACTTAAAAGAACGCCTGCCAGAAGCAGCCTGCGAAGTCTCAATAGTTGCCATCCCAGTTTACAATTTCGGTGACTTGCGTATACTTAACTCGAACTTAAATATAAAATTTGATTACAAGCTAAACGAGGCAGCGAAAAGCAACAGTCGTGCCATGAACTTTGAAATTTGAGTTGCAGGCATTTCAAATTTCGACCGATTCAAAATTAATGTTTTCCACGGTGATCAGTCACGCATCAGTCGGCATCACAGGCCGCAAATCTCGACTTCTTTATGGTTGCCAAACCGCACGGAGATGGCTGGCTGTATGCAATGGCCGGTAAGCGAAGGAGGTGTGATTTTGCCATTTTGGGTATGTTTAGGTTAATTAACCCAAAAACTCTCTCGCGAAGGAGTTTCTGCATCGAAACCATGTCGATACGGTATACGGTTGGAATACGAGACCCATTTTAAAGCCCAGTAGTGACAGTGTGCGACAGTGGGCAAAGCGGCATTTCGCCGAGGACAACCCGACGCAGGACTTTTGGCCGCAGAAATTTCACCGCAAGGTCATTTCGCAGCGTCGCGCTTCGTCGCGGGAGACTTAGTTGGCAGGACATCACGCCGCGAGACATTTCGTCCCAAGGCCACGTCGATGAAAAGTTATTCCTTTAACAGATAAATTTTTTAGGAAATCACTATAGCCACCCCTTTTCACCCCCGTTTTTTCATATTGGCCAGTCGGTTGCATTCCGTAGGTACGTCGGAGAGTGCATTACATGGAAAAATGATGGAATTAAGTAATTCGTGACACTGGTAGTCATTAGTCAATGCTTCCCGCAAACACAATGGCGGACGATTTCCGATTACGCTGTGACGACTGCATCGCTAATTATGGCTGCATAAATAAATGGTAAAATTACAAACTAAATTTATCCTAACGTACGAGTATCAAAGCAAATCAAACAGTTTTGTTCGCTTCGTAACAACAATAAGGATAGAACAACCACTACTTTTTTAAGTCAACCTGGTCGAAATTATCAGATATCATCACAACGCTTTTCTTGTTCTTATGATCTTATCGAACGTTTTGAGTCTTAAGTGGCCATGGCAGGACACCGTTGACGTTTTCCCCGCTGGGAAGGTCATAAATAACAGACGCTTATGAATTTCGCTGCCATCGGTGACGTATAAAATTTACATAAACCTCAGATCCCTGAAAATGGGAAATGAAATGGGTGTCTGTACCTAATAATCGCAAATACTTCGTTCTTATTTAACTAATTGTGAAAAAGGTGCCTGTAATTAACGGGATGCAAAAGGGGGTGGGTGTGGCCATTGCAGTTAAGTGCTGCTTTGTAGTCCCACAGTAGCGATGTGTTTTGTTATTAATTGGTGATAATTGGTTTTTCGATTTTGGCAAATGCCCTGTGCTAGCAAAAACGGCTTTTATCGATTTTGTTAGCATTGCATTGCACTGCATTGCTAAGAAAGCCGTCTTAATAGTAGCAGTGGTGCGTAAACGCCGGTTATAAAGAGTATTAAAGACTGCATGAAAGCCAATAATGCCAAGAAGAATTCGTGAAGTATTAGTATGTAGATATCTTTATCTGCGGCCAACCTAGACTGATAAACTGTGACAAGTTGGTTGATTTTTAGTATGTAGAACGATACCCCTATTGTGCGGATCTAGCGGAATTTGAAATGATACGTGATAGTGTGATACTAGTATTATTTATGCGTGGCTATGTTAACGGTACGATAAGCAAGTGAGCGCAGCTCATAATAATGTGTTGTACGCTGGGAATCCAAGAAATGTCTAAATAAAAATTAATGTGCATTTTTTGAATATTTTGGTTATAATTTGAAGCCGTTAGAATACAGAAACGCAATGTCGGAAACGACGAAATCGACGCAGTCTGATCTACTGAATGTGCAGTGCTGCAATACGGACAACCTTCGCAGCCGGCTCAATGCAGCGCTGGAGAAGATGGCCGAGGAGAACAACATCGCCGCTACGTATGATCATGTCACATTCACCGGTTTAATCGATCCCGATTCTAACTTTGCCGGACTGATCAACGATGAAATTGTCACAACGATATCGGCATGCAATTACGACGACCGGTTTTCTTTTATTGGCAGCTTCTTAACCCTTAAAGCATACCAACGACAAGGGTGTGGACGGAAAATATTCGAAGCATGCCTGGAACACGCCGGTGATCGAGTAATCGGGATGTATTCCGTAGAACACATGGTGGACTGGTATAAAGCCTACGGATTCGAGCAGACGACCACCACTAACACATATCGTCTGTATCCTGGAAAGAAGCCGGCAGTGCTCGGTCATCAGGACGATGCCCATATTGCTGCGGTTTCGGAGGTTGATTTTGATGACCTTTGCCACTTCGACCGCAAGTATTTCCCGGCGGAGCGCCGAGCCTTCTTAAAAGCTTGGCTTAATCATCCGAAAATCACGTCTGCTTTGGCTTATGTCGAAGACGGTAAAATCCTGGGTTATGGAGCGATCCGGAAATGCGTCGGCGATAAGGTTTGCAAAGTTGGACCCTTACTTGCTGACAGCTTTGACGTGGCGGAACGGTTGGGAAGAGCGCTGTTGTATGGACTGCCGGACGGAATCGAGCTGGTACAATACGAACGTATAACTGCTAACGTACAGGCTGGAGTGTTAGCGGAAAAGTTGGGATTCGACGCTACACCGTTCGGAGGTGCTGTGATGTACAAAAATGGCCGCCCGGATTTTGATGTTAGCGGTGTGTATTCGTACACCTCCGGGGCATACGGCTAATCTTATCAAAATAATTCAGCGTTGTCTACTAAGAACGGAATATTGTAATACTGATCGTCACTGTTCAGCCACGACCACAGTTATAGTCGCCAAGAACGTAATCACCAATATTTCATGGTATCAAGGAAGTGGTAGTACGAGTAATTGTATCGTACTTATTTGCTGGAGGAATTCACGGAGTAAATGCAGTAATAAACCGATATTCGCATTTTGCTTGTTGTTTGACCATGAAAATTTTTATTAGGTAACAGTTAAGCGTATATAAAAAACAGGACTACCTTCCTTAACAACCGGTAAGCTAAAACGTTGCTGAAGATAAGCAGTCGATTAATCCGCTTCCCAACTTCTGCCGTAGATGACGAATTGTTCATCCCATAAAATATAGCAGTTCAATTAAAGCCTAATCGAATAAAATAATGAAGATTCCCGCTCAGAAACTTTTGTATTATTTCATGCACAAGCAAGCACCCAGCAAAATATGCAGACGTCAAAAGACAAGAACAAACCATCTAACCGACAACAAATTAAATTGCACGCTTTCACGCTATTTCCGACCACGAAAAGCCCTCTCAATCTCGTGCACGTAGCGGGTAGTGCGCGCTACCAGGGCAAGGCCTTCCAGGGCCTCCTTGGAGTTCTCCCCATACAGCGTCTCAAAAATGTTGGCAGATTCGCGGCAGTAATCAAGGATAACGGGGCACGCTGTCTCCGACATTATCTGCAGTTGCTTCTTCTCCGCTGCCGACAGCTGACCAACCCGGCCGACCACGCGTTTTTTGAGAGCGTCAATCGACGAAGCTCCGGCTATCGACATGACAAGTGCGCGGAAAGTTTCGTATTTCGGATAAATATTTCTGCAAACGTTAGAACAATTAACTTTATCTTTTTTCAATGGTTGATTTCGGAAATTTAGACAAAAGGTCTCAGCTCTCAGGTATTTTAGTTTTTATTCTAACTGAGCAAATTATTCACAAAATAAACAAACTATTTAACAAACTATTTATTCCGATAACTTGAAAATTTAAATTTTTTTCTAACCAATTTTTACAACGAAACAATTTTTACAACGAAAATTAGGCTGGCGAATTTCCGACGTGTGGATCGCGACTTCCGTTTCAATCGACTGCACACTCACAATTAGTAAGACACGGCTGATACGCTATAAATAGCGCAAGAATTCCAAAAAAATACGAATAATATTATTTTATAAAGTAAACATCATTTTACTTAAAAAAGTAAATATTCTTTCGCTGGATAAAATAAATCAATACAGTACATCCGGATTTACCGCGCGCAAACGATCAGCTCCTGCATCATCTTCCAGCCCTCCTCAAAACGATTTGCATCGTACAGTTTTCGCGGCACTTCCCAGCCCAGTACATAGCGGATGTGCGCATCCGGGTGGAGGATGTCGGCGGCGTCCAGCTCCTTGCAGAGATCGGCTACCAAGGGATTGTGGATCTGGTTGGGAAAGCGTGTCTTAATCGCTTCGTGCTGCTGCATGTAGTGGTGATAGCGCTTCAACCGCTCCTTGTTCACCGCACCGCATTCCGTACAGGGCTGCAGAGCGCGGACATCGCTGGGAATCCGGTTCGTGCAGCCCACCGTAGCGCATTTAAAGGGATTGATCTCGGCTTCCTGCCACAAACCCGCGAATTTTTCAAGCTTTAATGCTAGTTACTGTAATTTGCTTTATTATGTATTATGAATGTAGCACGAAATACTGCCAGTAGCGTAAAGTACGAATTTATCACGAACCGGGTATTTATTTATTATAAATTAATTTCTTATGAAACTACTCGTATTAGTCATCAATATACTCGTACATCTACGATATGTACAAAAAATAACTAGTTTACAGTACTTAAAATTAATCAAATTATACTTATCAGTTTATTGACTTATTGCTTACGTATTTAGAATATCAGTTTACGTATATAATTTAATTTATATTAACCATATCAGAAAGTTTTTGAACGTGGTAGTGCATATATATTTTTGTTTCTAATTTATTTTTGTTAAGTTATTAACCGAGTTATAAATTTGCCTATTTTATACACAATAAATCGATATTTAAATATATATTTAAATTAATTAAGATGAGCGTTACATACGTATTGTGGGGTGCATTTGCGGCACGTGCACGGGTATCCGTGGAGTTTCTCGAATTCCGCACGACGCCCGGCCCGTGACAGGTAGAACGGTTCCTGCATCTCATTGTAGCGCAGCTGCAAGGGAGTACATGTCATTTGTGGGGACACCAACGGTTAGCAACTTCACTGTCACACGATGATAATTAAATCGTATGTAAGAGAATTCGCTAACGTCTTTCAGTCCGGTGTAGTTGTTGATATCCTCCGCAGCACGGACGAATAAGCGGCGTCCCCGGAAGGTCATCACCACATTCATATCCCAGCACACCGGCGTCATGAGACGCGGCGAGGCCAGCGGATACACGGCCATCCCAATGGGCGCCGTCCCGATCACCGCGTCTACGATGGGCATGGCGTTGTGCGCGATATTGGCGTAATACTTCACCATGTCGGCCACGGAACAACCCAGCTGCGGATCCGTCACCACCGACAAACACCTAGGGACAGACACGCCGAATTATTTTACGGCACACAAAATGCACTAAAATAGGTGTGAAGAGGGAAAAGCGAACGGTATTCACTGATCAAGTGAGTTTGACAACACCAACAAGCTAATAACAATCGGAGAATCAGGATAATACGAAATTACAATGGACGGACAAACGTACAGTTGTTCCGTCGGGTTAATGTTGGATAACTTCGGGTTAGACGGCAGCATGTTCCACAGTTCCTTGGCCGATTTCGGCCCTAGTTCAGAAGTCTCAATCATGGTGTTCAACTGGAAAATAAAACAACAAAACGGATCGACATTACGTCATTAATGTTATTAATAACATGCAGTTAAGCCTTAAGGGAGCCAGCGTCCCACAAAACTGATCGAGAGGGGCGTTCTACAAGCAACCACCATGGGGGCCGGCGATACTAAACAGCCGACGAATCCCCTACAGTAGTAAACCGTTATCGCATACTCCCGGATCGCAGTCACAAATAAAGCACCAATAATAAAGTGAACGATCAGTATGAGCACCTTGAGTTTGTTGATCAACTTGAGGATGAGCTCGCGCGGCACGTCCAGGCTGTACTGGGTGCTGCTGCCCGAGGGTCCGCGGTCCGTCTCCATGGAGCTGCCCGTCCCGCTCTGCTTCAGCAGGCTGCATTCCAGTTTATGCTCCACTTTCCAGTCGGCAGTCTAACAAGCAGCTGTCACAGCTCCTGAATCTTCTTAACTATTTACGTAAATTGTCACTGAAAGCCGTGAGCAGCGCTGTACTGTGGCTGCAGTACTTCAAGTACCCCAGAATAAACAGCAACGGGTTCAGTAATTTCATTTATTGACTTCGGCCTCTGGTAAGCCTTAAAAAATTATGCTACAGTACCTTTTGCAAATTTGTTTGGCAAATGTAATATTTTAATTGTGGAAGACTGAGGTGTCTGCATTCACGAGATGTCTCAAACTGAGCGAGAGAGTGGAAAAAAACCTACCGATTAGAAAACTCGAGCATGGCATACCTGGCAAGACACGCTACAATAGCGGTGCAGCTTGCATCCCGAACAGGTTCGTAGCTGTCGATTTTCCTTCAGACAATAGGCACACCGCGTCTTGTACGCATTACTCTCCAGGACCCACACCAGGGGATCACAGCTTACCACAAGCTCCCCAGCTGTAAAAGAACGACTGCCAGCTGTGGCCTGCACAGGCTCCATCGCTGTTATCGCACTGATAACTATCGAAAATTTTGACAAAGTACAGACAACAGACCGCGATAGGTCGTATGGAACAAAACTCAAAAGTCGAATTTTTATCGGAGTAGGTGGTAATAAGTAATAACGTTGCTAAATCGACAACAAAGGAAGACTCGTAAAGTCATAACTCGTAACTCGTAATGAAGAATTTATTTGTAAAATAATACAAAGTATTATGAATTTGGCTTTTTGGATCTTGAAGCATTATGTGGCTGCCGCCATGCGTACGCTAATGGCAGGCAGCTACGTTATGTCGCTTACTTCCGGACTGCCCGGACTGCTACGAGTACGAGACTACAAATAGTTGGCAACTTCACTGACAAACAACTGGAAATGTGTGTAACTGGAAATTGGAATGAATGAAGCAAGGCGCTGCTGTTTGTTACACATTACAGTGAGCCTCCTCTTAAGGGAAGATACACAGTACCAAATTCCAGCACATGCACGAAAACTTTCCCTTTCCCTCCCAAATACTTTTTTCAGAGCCTTATCATTGTGACATTTTAAATCGACGAAATTTGTGTTGTTTGCATGAGAAAACCGCTTATGCGCTCCACATCCGGTTGAGAAGTTATGGCTGCAAGAAAATTCCAAAAAGTTTAAGCGCCTTTAGCCTTTAGGTATACTTTAGGTCTACCAAAAGTCTGATTATGGATCGATTTGCTTCAAATTTTTAACCTTTTACTGCATGCATGACGCTGAGAACCTAACCGTCCCGAGTCTCCCGACTATAAGATAGGGGCACTTCTTCTCAGTTCTCTGTATAACTTTCACACCCTTTTCAGCCAGAAAGCCAAGATCGGAGAATGTTGGTTTACTGATCGGAGAATGTTGATTTAAGAATCGGATCGGAGAATGACTTTACATAACTTCGTTACTTCACAAATGAATTGCACTGAAATGGCTCAATGCCAGCCGCCGTAGACATCGCGGCGTGAGACTGTACAGTATCCAGATCGCAAGGAATTTCGCAGCCCGTCAACAAGGGCAATGCGCCCACATGGCACAAGAACTCTGAAATGCACGTCAAACTGAATTACAGTTTTGGACATCTACCAGTTTTCAAAACATACATAAAAGCATCAGCGCAGATTCGCCGCAGAGTAAATTGAGCAAAACGTCACATCAACGAACACATCGACTTAAAAGGACCCTTGGAGTTATCACTGTCAGATGTCGTGAAAGCCTCCTCAATGCGGCATACCGTCGACGTTATCTTCTCAACCCAAGCATCGTTCATCTGCGCTTCCAGTGACTCATTACCAAACAAAACAGAAAAAATATCCTTCGCCTCATCAGCATACTCCAACATGAGACGGCACACATCCCCAGCCAACGTCTGCAGCTTTTGCTTCGCCGGCTCCGGCAGCTGGGCAATGCCACTCAGTATTCGTGTTTCCAACGCTTCGGTAGTATCCCGCCCAATGGCAAGCAGCCAAGCAGCGCGAATAATCGTATACTTTGGACAAATCTTCCTGTAGAGTGGACATGCAATAGTGTTACGCCTACAGTTTCTGGATTTTACGCCTGATTTACTGTAATGTCAATTTTATTCCCAGATGTGAAAGTACCGCACAACAGTTCCAAAATCTTTCATCATTTTCCAGCCTTCGTCGAAGCGATTCTGATTATAATAGTTTTGTGCTAATGGCTGGCCGCAGACATAACGGAAATGCGCATCCGGCTGCAGGATGCCAGCAGTCTCCAGTTTCTTACAAAGTTGCAGTATCATGGCCATCTGGTACTCCTCCGGGCAGTTACTCTTAATCGTCGCGTATTGCTGTGCAAAGCGACGAAACTGCGTCAGTCGCTCTCCGTTCAGGGCACCACATTCCGAACAAGCTTCCAGTGCACGATTGTCGCTTGGAATTTGATTGCTGCATCCGACCGTCACACATTGCAGTGGATTGATGTCGGCATCCTAAAATACAAGGGTTAAAGCTTCAGATAGACTGCCATGCAACGGACTCCGACGTTCAGCCTCAAAGTTGATTAAAAACGTACATATGCTTCCGTGCATTTGCGGCAAGTACATGGACGCCCGTGACGCAGCTCAAAATGAGCGCGTCGTTCCGCTCTGGTCATGTACCATAGATCCTCCATGTCGTTATAGCGCAACTTAAAAGAACATAAATGGTAACAGAGTAACAAAACGGACGTTGCTGAGCATTTCTACGTAAGACGAGATCTTGCACAAGAGTACGACACTTACGTCTCCAAGACCAGTAAACTGCGGAATGTCCTCCACAACATGGATAAACAAGCGCCGTCCGTGGCGGTTCATCACTACATTGATATCCCAGCACACCGGCGTCATTTCTCCTCGCGGTGCTTGTGGATACACCGCTCTGCCGATCGGTGCGGAGAAGGGGTTGAGTACATCGTAAATGTTCACACCATTATAACTGAGAATCCCCATACAAGTTGTGAGGTCCTGGAGAAGCGGTTCGGCTCCCCTGGAATTGCCCAAATCCGTGAGCAGTATTCGCATCATAACTCGTACGTAAGACTAAACTATGGAGCACTTTACGGACGCGTCAGAGAAAACAATAACTTACTTCTCTTGCACCATGCGTTCAACTTCCGATTTCAGGGGATTAGCGGGCAGCATGAGCAGAAGATCTTCGACTGATTGCAGACCCATCCCCGGGATGTCCATCGTCGCGTTCATCTAAAGAACCGTAAAAGGACTACAATAAGCAGCCGTATTACGTACAATGGCCATCATAATGGAGCTTACACCACGAGTCTAATAATTTTATTCAAGTACTGTACTGTACATTAGGTTTGACTGCAGGTAATTAATAGTCGGAGGCAGATTACTTAAAACGGCCATACGGAGAGCGACTCTACCGTCGCATTCCCGTATGTTACACTTACACCCTATCATGGCACTTTATTTGCAATAAAATTGGTTTTACTGTACCCTGATTTTGTTGATCAATTTTGTGGTCAAGTGAGAGGCCACAGGCAAAGAACGGAGATAAATGGGTAACGGAGGGTTGTTTGCCGCTGCATCCCGTGCGTCTTCATTGCCGAGTTCCTTCAGCATGGCACATTCCAGTTTGTGCTCCACTTTCCAATCAGCGGCCTATTCTCAACCAAACGACATAATCAGCAACATATTAAAATTTTAACGCTGTCTGAAAACTGCAACGGCCCAAAGTCGTCCCATTACTCCCATACCAGTGTGCACGGACTAGGCAGTCCTCCGTCTTGTTTTGCATTTATTGATGCTTTCATCTACACTTCTACCGCAGTTTGGTAGAAAAAAGAACCAACGTACCTGGCAATCCGAATCGCAGTAGCGGTGCAGTCGACATCCCGAACATGTTCGTAATCCCGGGCTTTTATTCCAGCAGTAGGCACAGTGCGTTTTGTAGGCGCTGATCTCCAGCATCCATACCATCGGATCACAGGACATCACCAGCTCGCCAGCAAAAAAAGAACGCTTACCAGCCACTTTTGATGCCATTTTCACGGAGAACTTCAAACAGGAGAACCTATTAATCTGTAGAGGAAAACAATTCAGAAACAGTATTAAAATGGTTCGCGAATTCGGAAATTCGATACGGTGATTTAAACTGATTGCTCCTCTCATACAGAGCGCTGACAGCGGAGCAAAGTGACGCGGCGTTTGTTTGTTCCCTCTATGGTAGAACTTGCGCCGACTACATACTGTATACGTAACTGGCGATCAAGTAGTGACTCATATTTGGATTTTGCATGCCGATTCCAGAGACATGCTGAGCGTTCAGACTTCAGAGTCACTGAATCAGACTCAAAGCTTCACCAAATTTGAGCTCAGAGATACGAACCGATGATTATCCTGTAAAATGAACCGTTTCGATAAAAACTAACCGAATGAAGCAAAGCAGCAGGTTTCAGATTAAAAACATCCGGTGCGCTGCAGGTTGCAAGTGTATTCAAGGCATCCAGCCCACCACCTTGCAGGTTGCAAAGAACGCAGAATCAGCTGCTCATCAACAGGCCGAGAACTCGCGAGAATAACACAGAAACTACCTTTGCCACGGTCCGAGACCATTCCACCCAATGACTAAACGGGCCACCACAGCGTCCGTTCATACTTGGCAGTTGGCGATCGCCGTATTTGCAGCCAGCTGCCAGCCACACAACAACCAGGAACAAATCAACTGGACTCCGGTAGATCACATTGGCAACAGGTCACAGTGGTGATTGCCGAAATTTTGCCACATAATTATGACAAAAGATGTGCACCCTGGAAGAGCACTACTTCTATACCGCACATCCGTCCACAGTCGTAATATTAGAAATCAAAACGTTAATTTTATATTTCGCCTTGTAGCCAGCAAAGCTGTTTCTTGTACAAAGTATTGTTAATGCCTTCTGCTAAATTATCAATAAGATTACTACTCATGGCAAAGATGTTAATACTGTAACAACAGTTATTCAATGTAAACATGTCTGCTTTCAATGCCCAATCAACAGGCTGACTTTTCAGTTTTCCATGCCAGAAATTAAATTGACAATGTCTGTAGAACTTCTTTCCGCTGTTGGTGAAATAAATATTACCATTTTCCACAGTTAACAGAACATAAAGTTTCCAGTTACAAAACATCGTTTGGTTGACCTAATGGAAAAACAGAAAAACTGACATTAGAAAACACAGCAGTTACCGAAATGAACAGAACAGCCACTGAAATAACAAAATCACTATTTCTTGGCTTTCCATCCGCTGCCGCGAAAAGCGCGCTCGATGGGGCGTATATTGGTAGTCACTCGCTCCAGCGCAGCTTCGGCTTGCTGGACCTCCTGGGACTCTTCACCAAACAAAACCGTAAAGATTTCTTTGGCCTCCTCGCAGTACTTGATGGCAAGATGACTGATTTGAGGGGCTAAGATTCCCAACTCATTTTTCCCCGGTCCCGGCAGCCGACCTGTCCGATTCACCGCTCGTTGGTACAGCGCTGTGGAGGCGGTAATTCCCTGTCCCATTAGCTGGAGGCCGCGACAAACATCATACTTTGGATAGATTTTCCTACACAGACCTGTTCGTCATACTACCGCTACCGAGTACTCGTATTACTATCTGTAGGTATTACCATTTCACCGTAGTACGTACATTAGAAAGTCATTAAAAATAGTGAAAAAACATTCAAATATTAATTTAATTATATGTACAGGCTCAGTAATTATAAATCGATGTTTTCAATAATATTTATAAAAACTTTACATAAGCTACATAAATGGAAATTAAACGAATTTTATTCCTTTCGGCTACCGTTAGTATTATGCAGTTAAAGAAAGCTACCGAGAAACGTACCGGACACAGAGAGTTAATCCCACCGTCATCTTCCAGCCCTCCTCCAAGCGGTTCTCATTGAAGTATTTGTTCGGGATCATCCAGGCGCAGACGTGACGAAAATGCGCGTCCGGCTGCAGGATATCGGCATTTTCTACCTCGTGGCCGAGATTCATCATCATGTTCATCGCCATGGAAGCAGTTCCGTTGTGACGCCATTTCAGTCCCTCGTACTCTTGCACAAAACGACGGAATTGCACCAGCCGGCTGCGATTGATGGCACCGCATTCTGAGCACGCCGCCTGTGCACGACGGTCGCTTGGAATGCGATTCGTGCATCCAACCGTCACACATCGTAGGCGATTAATGTCCGCGTCCTACAGAAGACAACAGAAGTATTAAATGTGATTTAAATATTTGATCTGAAAAGCGCAGTACGTACGTATTCGTCCGTGCATCTGCGGCAAGGACACGGATAACCGTGACGCTTTCGGAATTCACCGCGACGTTCCTCGCAAGTTTGGCGCGACGGTTCCATTAGTTCGCTGTATCGCAACTGTGAATAAAAAACGAAAGAAAGCGTAAACATCGCTTCAGTTTTCTATCGGAAAATCAAGTATCCAAAGCAGCGAAAAACTGTATTGTGACGCGAATACGAAGCGCAGTTATACCGCTTACACAAATATTATTTATTATTATCTGTTACGTAAGAGGTAGGATACATTATTAATTAAGTAATTTTATTACTAATAAAGTAGCATTTCGTCGAATGTTTCGAATATTCAACATCGATAACTCACATCTTTCAGTCCGGTATACTGCGGAATATCTTCTGCGGCATGGATGAATAATTGTCGTCCGCGGCGGTTCAACACCACATTGATATCCCAGCACACCGGCGTCATTTGGTGTCGCACGGTTTGTGAATACAGGGCGAAACCGATGGGATCCTTGCCATAGCCGGTCAGTACATCGTACAGGGGCCATGTGTTGTAGCTTAGAATTTCATAATAGATGGATTTATCCGGGAGCATGGAGGACTTTCTGTGAAAAGGAAAAATAATGAGGAATTCGCTCGATCTAAATAACGTAAATTAGCTTACTCGAAAGGCAGTACGGGATGGGATTCCGGGTCCGCGTGATTGGCTGGCATCATGCGCAGAACCTCTGCAACAGATTTCGAGCCCATTCCAGAGACGTCCATCATCGCGTTTCTCTAAAAAATCATTCATTTCGCTTCCAGTGAACAAGCATTTTCAATATTTACGGAAAACCTGTTACCACACCAATGCTTTGTAGAAGACGCCAAGACGGTATTAGTAAAGGTATTAGACGGTATAAAACGTGAAGATTCACATTACTGCATTCCGGTATGAGCAAATATGAGATCAGTAACAAGAGCAACGAGTCGTTGTAATACGCTGTTTAATATGTATCTGCTTCGAAAGTTGCTTCCCCTCGCATTTTTTACCTTAACTTTGAAGTCCAACTTGGTCGTCATATCCCGGAAGATATCAGTAGACATGGGAAACGGCTGCGATGTTCGGCCACCTCGAAGCCCGGCCAACAGGATAACCGTGGGCTCCGTCTCCCCGTTCACTAAACCCATCTGCTTCAGCATGGCGCATTCCGCTTTATGCTCCATTTTCCAGTCCGCGGTCTGTCGCAGAAAGTCTTACAGCACAAGTCAACAATATTTTATTGGCATCTTCAACGACAGTGATAATGAGCATACACCTATAGGAAAAAGGCCGAGAGCATAGCCAGTGGCAAATTTAGGCGAGCGACCCCACGTTCGCCAACCGGAGGCAAAAAAACGAATCGAAAGTACGCTGCCAAAATTTTCCTCAGATGACTCCATCCAACCCTCACAGAGAACCTGTCTAAATTTGCGAGAACCTGGGGGCTGCCAAATCTCTCACTGCCACTCTCCCCCATCCCTTTACAACGGCCTCACTAACATTCGTTTCTTGTGGAAGAAAAAAGTTCGGTTCTGGCTTAGGGACTGGTGAGGTCTCTACGACCATACCGCGACGCACCAAAATTTATTATTTCATAAACTTTATCGTTTCCTCTTACCTGGCACGTGGTATTACAGTAGTGATGCAGTTGACATCCCGCACATTTACGCAATCCCTGGCCATCCTTCAAGCAAAACGCACAGTGGGTTTTGTACGCACTGCGCTCCAAGACCCACACCAAAGGATCACAGGCCATGACAACATCGCCAGGAGCGAAGGAACGCTTCTCAGTGATCGGTACAGATTCCTGGGTCTCCATTCCACCACAGTCCAAAAATTAATCCGAAGCGATTGGGTAAAAGCTGTGCTAGTTAAAAAAATATCAAAATCATAAACTTAATACAGTCAGGAGGCTGAGAGTACTAGTGACTGCTGTGAGTGTGCAGGTGCTGCAGTCATGACGAAAAGTGCAACAAGTACTGTTTCGACTAAACGGTTACCTTCTACGAAATGCGCTTTCTACGTATCAATGACAAAATTAAGAACGATAGAAGACGCAACTTCTTGCTGCAAGACTTGGATTTTAAAATGAATTTAAAAACACGTAATGTGCATGAAGTGAGTGTGTGTACTGTTAGTGTACGCCGTGAAGATTGCACCAATCTGCGTGTCACGTACGGTAGGCGTTACTCCGGAATCCAATCAGGCTAACGGTGAGTTCAGCTGTTGGCTGTTCGTAACTGTGATTAACTGTTACTCTGTCTTTGCTCTATGTTCAGTGTATTGCACCTTCAGTATTTTATGAAATAAAAATCACTTCGTTCCTAACTGCTTTGATTTTTCAGTAAGTAGATTGTTTTTCAGTACCGCCGATTACAATTTTATCGGTTTCCATTTTTGTGGGTATAAAATCGTCCTTGTTCTTTCCAGGTACGACTGATGCATTATGTTCACATCCACGTTGCGAGAAATCCAATGCACTAGCGTGATGATACAGTAAGGAAGTGACGCAATAAAGAAGCAAAACGCGTATAGAATATATAAGAACATATTACTATTTTCCACTTCCGTAACACAGACATTTTTTTGAATTAGTGACCTGTTTTCGGTTCGTTCCCGTCAAGTATAGAGCAGAATTTTATACGGTAAAGACACCAAGACAGTAATTCGGTTAAATCAGGGCTGTAGAATTCAGTAAACACAATTTTGCTCCGCCCGTTAAGGAAATCAGGTACAGTAAGTAGTACAGTAAATGGATAACCGGCCACTGTCAGTGAATGCACTGTGAAGAGAGTTATTACGTACTAGTATTAGATACCAGTTCGGAAATCCATCACCTCCCGATATGATACAATTAACAGCGACTGATTGGAATTCGGGAAAAAGAAATGAAATCTTAAATTTAAAGTGTAGTCAAACGTAATAACACATTCATAATTCAAATTTATTTTGACCAACTCTCGCGAAAATCTGCTCGATTTGACCAAAAAGTGCAGCCACTCCTTCCAGTACAGTATCGGCTTTCTGAACCTCCTTCGACTTGTCACCAAACAAAACAACAACGATTTCTTTGGCCCCTTGACAGTAACGGAGGACCGGACAACTTATGTGAGCAGTTAATGCTTCCAGTTCCTTTTTCGTCGGTCGCTGTCCCTCCGTTTCTATTTTCCCCGGTCGCGGTCCTCCCAATCCCAGTTCTGCTTCCAATAGCTGATCAACCCAATTCATCACTCGTCTGTGCAGCGCTATAGAGGAAGACGTTGCCTGGTCCGTTAGTTGAAGATAGCGAAAAAGATCATATTTTGGATACATCCTCCTAAATGAATTTTCTTGTTATTATTACTGACACTAGCATACACACGCTGCCCTGCATATCGCGCAGTGTGTATGCAAATTTCCGTACACCACCACACCGTAAATTTCCACTCTGTAACCCACCTTCTAAGCGCCGCTAGAGTAACTGATAATAAACTATGTAACTCTCTAACAAAATCTTGTATAATTTCTAGTATGAATGTTGCAGTCATCTTATGTTAGACTATAGATTGTAAACGGGAGGCCGCTTGCAGTGTGGTGCATCCAGTGCGTTTTGTGCTTGCAAGCAGTAAAAAGTTACTACAAACGCTACAAGTGACTCTTTCCCGTACATAAACCCCTTCGTCTATAGTGTATGAAACGGCTACAATATGTGCGTAAAACCTGCGCTGTAAATGGGTAAATCACCGATAAACGATGTTGTTTTTGCTATTGTTACTGAAAACCAGCAGAATCGATTTGAACCGTTTACCGAACAGAGATAGTCAACTTCTCCATCATCTTCCAGCCATCTTCTAAACGGTTTTCCTTGAAATACTTGCGCGGTAAAATCCAGCCGCAGACGAAGCGGAAATGCGCATCTGTCTGCAGGATGCCCGCCATATCCAGTTCCTGGACGAGATTCGTGACGCAGTCTATCCACGTATTGGGATTCCTATTGCAGCACCACTTCAAACCCTCGTACTTCTGCACCAAACCCCGGAATTGAGCCAATCGTTCACCGTTGAGGGCACCGCATTCCGAGCAGGCTGTCAGTGCTCGGCTGTCGCTCGGAATCCGATTGGTGCATCCGCTGGTCACACATTGTAACGGATTGATGTCAGCATCCTAAAAACGTTCGGAAATGCAAAATATCGTTTAACGTTTTCAAACCAGGGATTAAAGGTTAGTACATATTCTTCCGTGCAGCTGCGGCAAGGACACGGGTAACCGTAACGCTTCTGAAATTCATCGCTACGTTCCGTTCTTGTTTGGCGAGATGGCTCCAGGAGTTCGCAATATCGGAACTGCAAGCAATGTGACAATTTTGAAACGATCGTCGCTTACACAATTCGTGAAATTTGCGATGGAAACGAATATTCGCGACCGTTATCGGCAGGAAACCATGAAGAAATAATGGCGAACTAACGAAAAAGGCAAGTACATTCATGATACATGTACTGTGCTTTTTGTAAAAAGCCCACCTAGAAACGGGCGACCCGATCCATATCTGCGGCGGCAAAAACATTTTTATGACTGATAAATACTATGTCGCTTAAACTGCACAGTGCAGAATACAGTAAATAATTTCTTCCTAGCGGCAAAGTTACGGTTAACTAATAGTCTCGCGTGGTTTTCCATCAGCACACACGTTTGACTTTCTAGGTTTCTCGGGTCGGTCGTTTCTAGATGGCTTTCCATATTAAGTGCAGTATTAGGCAAGCAGCACCACGTCGAACAATCAGCGGCGATTTGTGCGAGAGTTCAACAAGATGCAGTGGTTTACACTTTACAGTACTTACATCCTGCAGTCCGGTAAAACGCGGAATATCTTGCACGGCATGTAGCACTAACTGTCGGCTGCGGCAGTTGGCCACAACATTGACATCCCAGCATACTGGCGTCATTTTGCGCCGCGACGCTTGTGGATACAAAGCGAAACCGATCGGGGCTTTGGTGCTGCCGGTCATCGCATTGTACACAGGCCACGCGTTGTAACTGATAATACCGTAGTAGAGCAGCGTGTCTTTGCGGGGTATCATATTTTCCGGCCAGATAGACGTACTTTGAAAAGAGCGAAAAATTTATTAAGAATCCGCACAAAAATACCTTTTTTGTGCTTACTCTGAGTTTAACTGCATAATGCTCTCGATTTCCCGTTGCGCGGGATTTGTGGGCAGCATGAGCAGAAGTTCTCTGGCACATTTCGGACCTATCCCGGGGATATCTATTACCACGTTCCTCTGGAAAAAGTATATTTTCAATAAGAAAAAGTCCAACATCTTTCTTTGCAATAAAGAAATTTAGCAAAGTTTTAATAACGTCAAACGTTTACAGATGGAATATCTATTATAGTTGCTGCGCCACGGAACTCTTTAGTATGCTGTTACAGCACTAATGTGAATCCTGTAGCGGAGTACGAGTAACTGTACAGTATGATGTAAGTCCTTACTTTCGTATAAAAAACTTTCAACACCGCATTAACTGCTAATAATAACACAATAAAGTAAAATACAAAATTAATGATACGATCGAAGAATGACAAGCATAGAACGATGCTAAAGGTTCATTGTTGTGCATTCAGGAATCACGATTAGTACTGGAAGTCTGGTATCTACAGACTGTACCGTATTATGCGGTAATTAAATTATTGATTGCGCTTTCTTTTCATTGGTACTACGCTTACCTGAAGTTTGAAATCCAACTTGCACATCATATCGGTAAAGGCGCCTTTAGTCATGGTAAAGGTGTTCGATTTAATTCTACCCAAAGGTCCGCTAACCATCGTCATGGGGGCGACGTCTTCGTCCCTACCGATAATCTCTCTCAACGCTGCGCATTCCAGCTTATGCTCCATCTTCCAGTCGGCGACCTGCATCATACCAGTCACTCAACAAGTGCTTCAACGGAAGTTCTAATGTGAAAGCATAGATTCTACGTGAAATATCGATATTAAGAGGTGGTGATAGCGGCTTCTTACAGTAGTAAAACTGGCGCTAAGCTCTCTGGTGGGTTCTCCATAACCAGTCAATCATTATGAACCGAAATATTACCAAATAATAAACGATTGCTTATCGTTTATAACGTTTTTCTTATCATACCTGACAAGTGGCGTTACAGTAGTGATGCACCTGACATCCCGAGCATTTGCGCAGTGCCTGGTTATCATGGAAGCAATAAGCGCAGTGTGTTTTGTATGCGGCGCGCTCGAGGACCCACACCAGCGGACTACATGACATTATGATGTCGCCAGGAGAAAACAAACGGCTGCCGACGCTTAAAACGGGCTCCTGGATCTCCATTCAATCTTAGTCGTCAAAAAATTTAAGGGTTATTCAGGCATTAACGATAGTCGACAGTAGTTGTGAAAAGAGCAATGTGTGAATTGTTTACAAAATGAGACTAGAAAAAATTTACGCAGTGCTTACAGATAGAAAGCTTGTAAGAAGAACTATTTAACAAAGCTACATTACGCTGGCATAACGTAAATCCGGTACGCCAGTGCCACTAAATCCGGTACAAGTATTCTTGATACAATTAAGGTGGTTTTGGTAGTTTGCTTTAATGAAGAGTAATTCCAAGTGTCGTTAACATTGTAATTGTAGCTTCTTATATACTCAGTAAAACAGTCAGATTGACTAAACTTCTGAGTAACAACTTCGCCTTTAAGGCCGGTGTATGACAAAGGGGCTGGGTGCCAACATGAGTAACAGACATTAGTAACGGTTACACTCATTTATTCTAACACCCCCCTTCACCCAGTCCGCGGTCATTCAGTCCATGCATCCCGAGCAGTCCGGTGATGGATTTGACCTTGATCCCTCCGAGCGCCTTCGTCAGCATGTCCGATGGATTTTGATCCGTTGGAATATAGCTCACCTCGATCGATCCGGCTTTCGTTTCCTGGCGGATTCGGTGGTAGCGAATTCCGACATGCTTGGTCCGCTTATGGAATTCGGGATCCTTCGACAAGGCAATCGCGCCTTGATTATCCACATACATCTGGGTGGCCTTTGTCATGTCCACTCCGAGCGCATCCAGAAACGGTCTGCTCCACTCGTTCTGCTTAACTGCCTCGGCCAGTGCCATGTATTCGGCTTCCGTCGCAGAGAACGCTGTCACTTTTGCAGCTGGGAACTCCAGGCAACAGGTCCGCCTCCCAGGGTGAATACATATCCGGAGGTTGATTTCCGCTCATCCGGATCACCTCCCCAATCCGAGTCACAATATCCGGTCAACTCCATACTTGCTGTACCAAACGTCAAAGCCATAGTTAATGTGCCTTTTAAATAGCGCATTACCCGTTTAACAGCTGTCCAGTGGTTGAATCCCGGTTTCTTCCCAAACGACGCCAGGCGGTTCACTGCGTAAGTGATATCCGGTCGTGATATGGAAGAGATGTAGATGAGGCAGCCAATCGCTTCCATGTATGGACAGCTATATGGCTCTTCTCCATCCTCAGATTTCATCAGCTTGACATTCGGATCCAGAGGAGACGTATAGGTTTTACTCTCCTGTAGTCCAAATCGCTGCAGCATGCGATTGATGTATCCCTGCTGGTTGATGCTGATGGTGCCGATCTTCCTGTTCCGACCGATCTCCATGCCCACATAACAGTCTGGCTCATGAACCGTCAGTTCGAAATCTTCTTTAAGTTTCTTCAGGAAATCATCCACCACTTTTCGCGTCGCACCACATACCAGCCCATCATCAACATACAGACACAGTACCATGTACTCCTTACTCGTACCTTTCTTCACGTAGACGCACGGATCTTCACTGCATGCAACAAATCCATGTCCAGTTAGTACTGCGTTCACTCGCTCGTTCCACAATCTTGGACTTTGCTTCAAGCCATATATTGAACGCTTCAACCGGCATACACGTCCACTACCGTCGTCGTACGTTGCCGGCTGGTCCATATATATGACTTTATCCAAGTCACCATTCAGAAATGCAGTCTTCACGTCAAACTGCACCATTTCCAGGTTGCGTGCAGCAGCCACCGCTAACACACAGCGCACCGATTCGTGTCGTACGACGGGGGCAAAGGTTTCGCCATAGTCGATGCCTTGCGCTTGTGAGTAGCCGCATGCCACAAGCCGCGCTTTCCGCTTATCCAGCTCGCCATCTGGAAGTAGTTTCGATTTAAAAACCCACTTACACTTCACAGTGCGCCGGTCTGCTGGTAGCTGTTCCAAAGTCCAAGTGCCCGTTTTATACAGCGCTTCAATTTCAGCATCCATTGCTTCCTTCCACAGGTGCCCGTCTGCTCTCGACAGCGCATCCTGAACATCAACTGGATCTGCGGCCGTGGCCATTGCGCTCAACGCAGCTCCCTTGGCTCTGGTTTCCATGGGATGCGGAAGAGGCGGATCCTTCACCAGATTCTTTGATCCCGGTGGTCGCCCTGGCCGTCGCTTCTCAACTGCTGCATTTTCTACAGCAGTCTCGCTTCCCAGCTCATCCTCCGCATCTTCCCACTCTTCGTCATCATCCCGCTCGCTCTCATCCCCTTTGAGGCAGGATACCGTAGAGCAACTTCGGGAATCTCGTCGCCACCATCCGCGACAACCACATCTCCAACCCGTTCCACCTTTTTCGTTTCCCGGTTGAACACCCGGAACACTTTCGTGGTATCCCAATCGTAACCTACAAACAGTGTTTTTACCGACTTGGGATCCAGCTTCCGTCTCTGATCCTCCGGAACTTTCACGTAGGCAGTTGATCCGAACACCCGCAGGTGGTCAACTGTTGGCTTTCGGCGGTGCCACAATTCATACGGGGTAATTTCCAGCTTTCCCCGATTTGGCACAATGTTCCGTAGGTAGGCAGCGGTTGAGATGGCTTCATTCCACAGAAGATTTTTCTCACTTTTTGTGATGTCCGCATCGTAGAGCAGCGTTCGCGCACTGTCACAGAGCGTGCGGTTTTCCCGTTCTGCCATGCCGTTTGCTTGCTTCACGTACGCCGGACTTCTTTCGTGCTTTATCCCTCTGTTCTGAAACAGCGTTTCAACCTCCTGGTTGATGTATTCAGTCCCGTTGTCCGTGCGAATCGACAACACCTTTCTACCAGTTTCCCTTTCTGCTGTGATAATCAACTCTTTGAATGCATTACCCACAGAGTGCTTACTTGGTAGTGTTCGAACCATTCTGTATCCGCTGCTTTCATCTTTGAACGTCAAGAGATATCGATGTCCTTCCCAGGAGTCTGCGCCCATATGACACACATCACTATGGAACCTCTCACCTGATAGACATTCCCTTCCAGCACTGCTGTCATGGGTGTTAGCCGTTTGCTTTCCCATATGACACGCTTCACAGTCACCGCGCTTCGAGGTCACCACCTCCAGGCCGTCCACCACCTTGTTGCGGACCATGGAGTCAACCAATGCGTCGCTGACGTGTCCAAGTCGTTGGTGCCAAATTCCCACAGGCTGCGCCTTCAGCGCACCTCCGCTTGGCGGCACCACGCGTATGAAAGGTTGGTACGTTGTACCGTCACCTCGCACTCCACCCAGGAACGGCTTGCCATCTCTGCTGATTGTCATCTTGCCTTTAGCGTGGGAAAATGCGAATCCTTCTCGCTCCAAGGTCACCGTGGACAGCAGCGTAGTGTCACATGCATCGGGTGCGTAGAAGACATTCTTCCAATCCACTTCCCGCCACTGTTTCCATCGACGGACACTTCGACGTCAATCGTGCCAATATGGGTAGCCTTGATGCTCTGATTGTTGCCAACCACGAACGATTTGGGAACATCTAGCTTAACTAGAGTTTTAAACCAGTTGTATTTATTCGTGATATGGTCACTTGCCCCACTATCGGCGATGATCACATCCTCACTTCCGGTCGCATGCATGGCTGATACCATCATCGATTCCTTCTTGTAACCGTGACCGGACTTGTCCTGTCGCTTGTTGGTGACTGTTTCCCCTTTTGGCTTTGACCAGCAATCGGCCTCTTTATGGCCCGCTTTGCCGCAGTTGTGGCAGCTTCCGGTGAACTTCTTCTTCGCTCCAGTTGGTAGTCGCTTACCTTTTGCGTACAGCGACTCACCGGCTGGACTGGACCACTTCCTTCTCCTGTCCCTTCATCATCTTTTCCGCTAGAGCAGCTTCTCCCGGAACTTGGACATCTCAGGATTAGGACCGGCCATCATGTTCCACGACGACACAAATGACGCGTACTGTTTGGGCAAGCTGGCCAGCGTCTTACCGATCAACCAGGTGTCGGTAACCTTTTCCGGCTTCCCGCACGCGTCTATCTTCGCCGCTAGAACATACAATGATGCCATGAATGTATTTGCGTCGTCTACCTCCTTCCACTTGACTTCGAAAAAATTCGGTCATCGCCGACATCAAGTCGTTGTCAGTCTTCGGCTCTTTCAGCTCCTGGATCCTCTTCAGAATCTCAGCGGACGTCTTGCAGTCCCGACACTGACTGAAGGTGGTATCATCCACTGTTGCGCGCAAAATACTTCTGGCTTTTCCATCGGCAGCTATCCACTTCAGGTGGTGCTCATGCGCCGCTTTATCCGTTGCCGAATCTAAGGGCATCGTCAGTGTCCCATTCACAACAGACCACAAGGACTCACCAGTCAACACATCCTCCACCTGTACCCTCCATCGCGAGTAATTGGAGTCGTTTAACTCGGTGACCTTAATACTCTTCAACTGCGCCATTGTATTATCCACAACACAATGATAAAACAAACTTCACACAAACACTGCTTAGAGACAAGCAGGTCTCATAATCTGATACAATTAAGGTGGTTTTGGTAGTTTGCTTTAATGAAGAGTAATTCCAAGTGTCGTTAACATTGTAATTGTAGCTTCTTATATACTCAGTAAAACAGTCAGATTGACTAAACTTCTGAGTAACAACTTCGCCTTTAAGGCCGGTGTATGACAAAGGGGCTGGGTGCCAACATGAGTAACAGACATTAGTAACGGTTACACTCATTTATTCTAACAATTCTGTTTGTGATGACATGTCAAGAAAGGGCCTGCAAACCGCGAAAGGGCGAAAGTTATAATATAGAAAGTGTCTGTACAGATATACGAATTTATTTGGTTTGCTTAGCGACGTGTCTATATGTCATTGCAAGGAAATTGGTCGCATCCGTGTAATTTGAACAGGTTTCCCCTATTGATGATATCCGTACTTACTGCTTTTTTATCGAAACTCATGCTGCCGAATCTCCCGAAGGCTCCTGGAAAATTTGAAACACGCCCGGTACAAACATTTGCTAATGTTTTTTATCGGAAAGTATCTTTATTAGAGAGCGATTGCTTAAT